GGGGCGGGTTCGGGCGGAACGGCGCGGCGCGGGGCGCGCACCCGCGATGACCATCGGCGGCCCCCGCGGCCGGCACCCCGGCCTCCAGATGCCCTGTCTGCGCAAGGTGAGCGGCTCCGGCACCGGCACCCGCCCCGCGGGCAGCGGACACCGCGCCGGGGCCGGGCACTGTCTGGGGCCGGCATAGCGGGAACCGGGCGCCGGCACCGCGGGGAGCGGCTGTTGGGACTGTGGGGATCGGGCATCGGCACCGTGTGGACCGGGCACCGGGCTCCGGGACTGTGAGGACCGGCCACCGGCACCGTGCGGACCGGGGACTGGGCGCTGGGATCGTGGGGACCAGACACTGACACTGCCCTGGGTTAACGCGGGCATCGGGGGCCRCCGGCGGCGCGGGCATGGGATCGCCGGGGACGGGGACCGGGGACAGCACCACCCGGTGTACGCGGGACAGCGGGACCGGCCTCGGCGCCGCCACGGGCACCGGGAACGGCCCATGCGGGAATACCCACGGGCATCGCCCCGGAGCTGCGTGCTCTGCTCCCCCACTCAGGGCTGGGGTGCTGCCACAGCCTCGGCAGAGCTCAGTCCCCAAAACTGGGGGTTCCCCGGGCCTGGGATTCCTGGAGGTCGAATGTCTGCACTTCCAGCATCACACGTTCGCCCGGCTGCTGGGTGCCTCGGTCAGGTTTTGGTGTGCCAGGCTGCCCTTAGGCCGGGACAGGGTGGCCTGGGTCACTGCGGGGCCCCAGGCTGTCCCCAGGCTGTGCTCTGGGTGCCTCTGTCGGGCTCTGGGGAGCCAGGCTGTGTCCGGGTCACCGGGTGCACGGGGTCACGTTGGCCGGAGCCAGGCTGTGCCCAGGCCCGGTGCCGCCGTCGCGGGCTGAGCACAGCGGTTCTTTGTCCGGCAGATGGAGCGGATGATCGTCAGCATGCAGGACCCCGACATGGGCATCAAGATGAGGAACCAGCGCTTGCTCATCACCGTCATCCCCCACGCCATGACAGGTGGGTCCCCGCCATGGGGTGCCCCACGAAGGCAGGGGAAGGTGTGTGGGAGCTCCCCGGGTGTCCCCAGCCCTGCGGCAGCGCCCACCGCCGGTCCCCCGCGCCGCTCGCCTCGCCGCACCCCTGGTGCTCGGCGCTGCAGCTGGGATCAATTATGCATCGGCTGCGCGGGGCGGGCACTCGCACGTCCTTGGCAGGGCCCCCGTCACCCTGCGTGACCCCTGGCACTGCCACACTGTGCCAGCTGCCCCAGCCGGGAACTCCCCGTGTCCTGTCTGGGGAACCCCACCGCACCCCACTAACGCAGCCTCTGTCTGTCCCCAGGGAACGACATCGTGGAGTGGCTCATCCAGAAGTACGGCATCTCCGAGGAGGGTGAGTGCCCTGGAGCAGGCAGCCGGCACCGCGGGGACACCTGGGGCTGCCGAGCCTCCATCAGCCCCCAATCCCACTCCGCAGAGTCGCTGCACCTCGGCAACCTCATCGTGAAGCACGGCTACATCTATCCCCTCAAAGACCCGCGCAGCCTGGTGCTGCGGGCGGACGAATCGCCCTATCGCTTCCAGGTACGGCCGCACCGGGCACGGCACGGCCCCAGCGCCGGGGCTCCCCATGGGCACCCCATGGCGACAGCCCCAGCCTCTTCCTCCCCCACAGACCCCMTATTTCTGGACCAGCACCAAGTGGCCGGCCACGGAGCTGGACTACGGTAGGTGCCACCGTGCCGCTGACACCAACACGAGCTGCGAGCCCTTCCCAGCCCCGCTGAGATGCCGCCGCTTCTCTTGCAGCCATTTACCTGGCCAAGAAGAACATCCGCAAGCAGGGWGATCTGATCGAGCATGAGAAGGTGAGGGTGCCCCCGTCACAGCTGTGATCAGCCGGGGGAGCCTGGGCTCACCCAGGAGCGGCTGCTCACCCATGGAGAGGGCACCGGCTCTCCCCGTGCTCAAGTGGCAACAGGACCCGGAGCCAGGTGAGGTGACAAGTGCCACACCGTACCTATCTGTCACCCSCCAGGACAACTACAACCTCCTGCACAAGCGAATCAACCACACGTGGGACTTCGTGGTGATGCAGGCGCGGGAGCAGCTCCGGTGAGTGCGGGCACGGCCGGCACCGCTGCGCCCCGGGGAGCGGCCGGGATGGAGCACCCCCGGCTGCGGGGCACGCAGGGTGCCAGCACCTCCCGCTGCCTCTGCACGGGCAGGGCGGCCAAGCAGCGGCGGAAGGGCGACCGCATCGTCATCGACTGCCAGGAGCAGGCGTACTGGCTCGTCAACCGGCCCCCGGTGAGCGTGGGGCCGGGGGRCCGGGCTGGAGGGTGCAGCCCTGGCCTGGGCAGAGGGGCTGGGGGCGCAGGGGGTCCCCCCAGCCCACAGAATGATGCTTTCTTTGTAGCCGGGAGCCCCCAACGTGCTGGAGCAGGGTCCTGAGCGCAGGAATTGCCACACCACCCGTGTCCAGCTGGTGAGTGGGGGTGTCCGGGCACCCCGGGGGCTGCCAGCGGGCACAGGGCACAGCCAGTGCCTGTGCCGGGGTGTAGAGCTGCCCCGAGGGGTGCCCATCCATCTCACCCCAGGCTGTGCCCGCATGTGGGGGTGAGGGGTGAGCCCCAGCTCTGCTAACACCCGTGTGTCCCCCACCTACGGTGGGTCCGTGTGTTTGTCCTTGCACCCACCACCCCTCTGTGCCAGCACTTCTGATCCCTGCAGGGCAGTGCTGCTGCGGGGACCCCTGGCACCCTGGGGTGCCAACAGCAGCCACCAGGCCCTTCCCTGTGTTGTGATCCCACTAATGCTGCCCCAGCACCCACAGGCTGTCCTCACTAAYCACCCACTTTCTCTTCTCTGCACCGTGTGCCGTGTCCTCTGCCCACGTAAGTGTCACTAACCTGGGCTGGTGTCACACTGGGGTGTGGAGGGGGGGAAGCCAGGGTTTATTCCATGAGCCGGGAGGGCTGGGGGAATGAAGCTGGAGGCCACGGGGTTGGGCTACAGAGTCCCAGGCTGGGGATTGTGTGCCTGGATTGTCCAGGGTGGTGGTGGCAGCACAATGTCCCACCACGCCCTCACCCTGCCCTGTGTCTCTTGCAGACCAAGAACATGGATTACTACAAGCGAGAGGTGAGTGGGTGAGGGGTGGGGGCAGCTCTTGTGGGGCACAAGCTGCCAGGCACCCCAAYATGTCCCCTGCACCTGGCCCCAGATCGAGTACTGCAGGAAGGCCATGGCCAGGACCAGGGTGAAGTCGTCCATCTGCCTCGAGGGGTGAGTGGCAGCAGCTGCTGGGTCCCTTTTGGGGTGACAGGGACACCCCCATGCCAGGAGCTGGTGGCTGGCACCACAGCACTGCAGCCCTCAGCAGGCAGTGGAGCTGAGGCTCTGTAGAGTCTGGGCACATCCCCACCATGTCCCTGTCATGTCCCCATGAYGGCTGGGGTCGGTGGCCCTGGTCACCTCCAGCCACCGCTCCTGGCAGGTACATCAAGTTCAACGAGCAGTACGTGCCCCACGACCCCATCATGTCTGGCTGCCTGCCCAGCAACCCTTGGATCACAGATGACACCACGTACTGGGCCATGAATGCCCCCACGTAAGCGCCCAGCCCCAGGCCCCCCGAGTACCCCAACTGCAGGACAGGGTGCAGGGTCACGCAGGCTGCCATGGGCTGCCAGCCATGATGCCACTACCATCTGCAGGGTGACAACCCCCACAAAGCTGCGTGTGGAGCGCTGGGGCTTCAACTTCAGTGAGCTCATCAATGACCCCCTGGGTCGGGCACAGCTCCTCGAATTCCTCAAGAAGGAGTTCAGTGGTGAGTGGCCCCGGCCCTGCACTCCCAAATTCCTGCTACGTCCTGGCACCCCAGACCCACCACTCAGCCCCAGCATGTCCGAACCCACCACATCCCAGTAGTGCCCAATCCCAATGTCACCAAACCAATCTATTTCTGTGTCCCGGCATTGCCCAACCCACAGCCACAACCCAGTACCTCCCGACTAATCTGCCCCAACTCCCCTGGTCCCACTGCTCCMTGCYMCCCCAGCTGGCTCTGTCCCACGGGAGGACTGCAGGGCCACATGCCCAGCCACGATGGCCTTTGGGGGTTGCCCATGGGCATGGGGGCTGCCTGTACCGTGTCCCCCWCCCCAGCTGAGAACCTGAGCTTCTGGGAGGCGTGTGAGGAGCTGCGCTACGGGGAGCAGTCCCGCATCGCCGAGATCGTGGACTCCATCTACCAGTGAGTGACAGGGGTTGAGGGTTTGGGGGGCAAAGTTTGGGGGTTCAGGCCACTGCCCTGGGGCCAGGCTCACTGCTGCCTGCGGCTCCCCAGGCAGTTCCTGGCTCCCGGGGCCACRCGCTGGGTGAACATCGACAGCAAGACGATGGAGCGGACGCTGGAGGGCATCAAGACGCCCCATCGCTACGTGATGGACGATGCCCAGATGCACATCTACATGCTGATGAAGAAGGTGGGTGAGGGAGGGGCTGGGCAGCGCAGGGCTGGGCAGGATCCTGACGCCTCTGCTCKCCCAGGACTCCTACCCGCGGTTCCTCAAGTCAGACCTCTACAAGAACCTTCTGGCCGAGGCCGTCATCCCCCCGGAGACCAAGAAGCGGTGAGGGCAGGGGCCGTCCCCTGGGGCGCTGGGTGGGCCCCGCCCGTTCTGAGCCSGTTCTGCCCGCAGGGTCTTCCCCTTCATGCGGAAACAGCGGCATTCCAGCCCCAGCCCCGCGCTGCTCCTGCCCGCGGGCGATGCCGAGGAKAAGAGCAGGAGCCCTTCCACTGCCCCCGTCCCCGAGGAGGAGAGCTGAGAGCCGCAGCCCCCCGCCAGCACGGGAACCCCCCGAGCCAGCACACCCAGCCCCGCCGCAGGACCCTGCCGGCAGTAGCACTGAAGGAGAGAAGCCATATGCAAGCCAGAGCCCCCCGGAGCCAGGCTAACCCCGCTGCAGCCCCCGCTCACATCCCCACACCCTCCTCTTCCTCGGGGAAGCCGCACCCAGCCGGCCTGGTGCGGGGTCACTCCCTCCTCCCGCCCCCACCCCGGGCACGACACAATAAAGCCCCCGCAGGGAAACACTGTGGCTCCAGTGGTTTTTGGGGAGGGGGGACCAGGCAGACAATGGCAGGGTGGGAGGTGCACAAAGTGCTGGCCACTTCTCCAGGCTGGAGGCAACGCCCTCCCGTGCCATCAGCAGGCAGCAAAGGTGCAGACCCCCGGGAGGGACCCGGCCCCCCGACACGTGTGGCCATGGCACTGCCATCACCCACGGCTCTGTTTGCACCGAGGGGCAGCACCAGCCTGGCATGGCCGAGCTCAAAGCACTCGGGTGTTACTGGTGTGCCCACCTACACCCTGAGAGGGACAAAGGCCTCTGGAATGGGGCTGGAGTGCCACAGCCCTRTGGGCTGGCAGGGGCACCAGCGGCTGAGCCACTCTCCCTGTCCATGCTCTGCTAATCTGAGCAGAGGCCGAGGATCGCACGGCAGGATTATTCCCTCGCCGGGAGCCGAGCCCCAGCTGCGGGGGATTATCGCTGGTGGTTACATAAAGGAGAGGGGGGCCGGTGCCTTGGAGCCCAGCCTGTTCCACGGGCACTCACGCGGCAGAGCAGGGGATGGCTCCAGCCCCAAACGGAGCGAGCGGCGCCATCCCCTGTCCCGGCTGACACTCTGTTGGGATCCGGGATAGAGGCATCCTTCCCACCGCAGAGCCGGCACAGAGCAAGGGGCATTCTCAGCTCCGTGCGGGGGCACACRGAGGGGCCTGGGGCAGGGGAAGCTGCTGGAGCCTGGGTCACAGGATGGGGCTTGGGACCTCGGTGCTGGCAGCCAGCGGGCAGTGACAGATGGTCCCGCGCTCCAGGAAACAGCGCCTGCCACGCGTCTCCCTCCGCCTTGATCCAAATCCAAACCCCGGCATGAGATTTTCGTGCTGATGGACTGCAGCAGGAATCTGGGGTGTAAAACCAGGTCACAGAGCCCCAGGCAGGGGGCAGGGACASGCTGGCCCAGCCTGGTTATCTAACTCCAGCCTCTCTCCACACGTCCCCTTCTCCCTTTTCCCGGTCCATCACCTGCCCACAGCGGGACAGGGCAGCGGCTGTCAAAGCATCACCAGGACACCTGGATCCCTCCCAAGGAGGGGGGTTCTGCCTCGGGGAGGTCACTCAAAAGGCTGCCAAAAAATCCCAGAATGTCGTGTGACCAACACCAAAGCAGGGCACCATTTACAAACAATGCAAAAGAGGGTTTATTGAAACCATCCCRGTTAGAGCAAGTTCTGTAGGGCACAATTTGCAATAAGTTAAAGAACCAAACCAAACAGTCTCAGTGTTAAAAACCACACTAACACAAAACACAGTGATACAGCCATCGCCACCCAGCTGAGTTATTGAATCAAGGCACAAAGTCATTCATTAAATACTGCAAAAAAAAAAAAAAATTACACAGGAAAAAAAGCTGGAAAATGGACTGGTTTTGTTAAGAAGGTGCTGGTTTGGCACTGATGCGTTTAATTGAGCTGCCACGGGGAAATCTGCRTTTCCAAAGTATCCAGACACATTACTGGACAACTTAAATCCAGAAAAGCTCCCCAAAGGTGAAAATCCAGCTCTYCTGAAGGAACARAGTGTGCCTATGGGAAGGTCAGGTCAGGGTAGGGGTCTGAGGAAGGAGTGTGTGGTGAGAATACAGCCCAGGCACCTTGCTCCATGGCAGGGAGATCTCAGCGCGATACAATCAACATCCAGCACTCAGGCTGGACTACAGTGCGAGCCTGGGACTTCCCTGCCTGGTGCTCAGAGCCACACGCATGGAGAGCGGCCCCAATCCAGCCCTCAGAGCCTCTTATGGCTGCAATGCTGGCACAGGGACCTGTGGGGCTGCCAGGCCTAAGGTGCTGAGCAAAGAGGAAACCCAAACTGGGGGGACACAGAGGGGAGCCTCCCTGCACTCCCATACTCAGAAAACAGCTGGGAAGACAGGCAGAGGGAGAACCTCATTTTGAGCCCAGGGTGCTTTGAAGGTGCAGTGCTCTCTACAGAGCATCCCAGGACTGGCACCCTTGACTGCCCAGGATATGGGGGATGGGCCAGAGGGGGCACTTTTCAGGCAGCCACTGGCCAGCTGGAAGCAGGAGGTGTCCAGGCAGCCCTGGGAGGGCTGGGGCTGTGGAGTGAGCTGGTGGCAGCAGCTGCCCCGTGACATGTTCAGGCTCAGCGGGGGCTGAAGGGAAGAGCTGATGCCTGACCCTGCACATTCCCATCCTACAGTGTTTCTACACATCCCCCAATGTCACACTCAGCAAGGGAGGGAGGCACTGGCCAAACCCCCTCCAGCACTGCAGAGCTTGAGAGAGGTTATTTTTAGGGTTATTTTTATTTTCAGGACYGAGCAGCTGGTTCAAATCCTTTTCAAGGTTCTGCACCTTGTTTCTATGGCCTGCAGTGGCTCCCAGCAGGACAGGGCAGAGCAAACACCTCATGGTGCTACATGAATCTCCAGGAGAAACATCTCATCTTCACATAGCCACCTGTCCCATCCTTGCACGATACYAGGCAGTCTCACCCAGCATCACTTCAATTCCAAGGGCAGGGAGGCAGCACAGAGCTCCTGCCCACCTCCTGGCAGCAGGGACAGGACTTGGAGAAGGCTCCTCAGCAGCTGCAAGGCTGAATGAGCAGGGAGCTGGCACTGGCTTCCCAGAGCAGCAATCCCAGCTCCCAGAAAAGGTTAACGTGCAATTCTACTCTGAAAAAAATGTGTCCTAGATCCTCTGGCTCCTTTAAACCAGGAGAGGTGGTGGTACTGCCAGGGACCAGCCAGCCTGGGCTCAGGGTGGATCTCTCACCACCTGTAATCAGACTGAGGGAAGAACATTGATGCATCCATCAGGTGGGAGACCAGCTCCCTCTCAGTGTCACCAACACKGCACAGCCTGGCTGGGAAGGAAGCAGCAGAGAGACACAGGTAGGCTGGTGACTGCAGAGCAGGGCACGTGGGGTTGCTCTTGGGACAAAAGGCCATTTGCTATGTAGAATGACACTTCAACCTGTGCTTTGTTGGCCCAGGTGACAGCAGCCACACCACAGCCATGGCTGGGGTCACTACACACACCCCACCACTCCTGAAGCAGGGCCCTAATCCAGGAGAGAGTGATTGCAAATTAACCTGCAGCCAAGCACCTCTCCTCAGCCAGGAGAGCTGACTCAGAAAGGAAATCTAACACCATACAGCAAACTCCACTTCTCAAACATCCCAGAAATCATCMGCTCTGGCACCCCAGCAAGCATGTGTTCTCCTCCAGACACATTCCTGAGTCAGCACAGTTCTGTGGACACAGAGGGATGGAGGGGAAAGCCCTCTTCCCTGAGCTGATGACACTTCAGAGGTGGCCAAGCACTGAAGTCCCATCAGCTCTGAGGACGGATGCTCTGGCAGCTGCCCCCACAGCCTGGGTGTCCCTAGATACTGAGGTGCTTCCCTGCCAGCCACGCTTTGGTTTGCAGATGGAGAAAGGCAGCTTGCCACTGGAATCTGGGCTCTGGRCTCGCTGAGAGCACGGCTGCAGAGCAGAGGCAGCCTCTCCCCGTCCCTCGACCAGCTCACGCTCGGCTGTGGAATCGCATCCTGTGGAGGCGGTCCCGGATGTGCTGCTCGTTGTCCCCGGCCATGGGGCTCAGCCAGATCACCTTGCTCTCCRAGACATCCTCCTTCAGCTTCCTCTTCATCAGGGACACAGGGCCAGGCGCCTCACCGGGCTGGGGGCCCCGCAGCAGCACGTAGCAGGCGTGGCGGCTCCGCTCGAACAGCGCCGCTGCAACACAGAGCACATGGAAATCACAGCCTAAGCCTCCCGTGCTGGACCGGCCACCAGAGCCACCACCACCCACAGGGGCCATGAGAGACCAGGGTCCTCCTGCAGCTTCTCACCAGAGGGCTGGGAGGAGAGGACTTACCAGTGAACGCAACGATGTGGTCCGTGCTGTTGCGGAGCTCCAACAGGACATTGGTGTAGGAAGGATGGAAAAGGTACAGCTTTTGGAGGGGAGCTCTGGATCTCTGCAACCATCAGGACACCATCAGGACACCATCAGGACACAGACTCATACATTACCCCGGTGACAACGCCAGCACCAGGCTCAACTGTTATACTGCACTGGACACACCCAGCCAGACACTTGCCCAGGTCAGCCCAGCTCATCCTGACTGATGCCATTAGGACAAGGGCTCGGATTTTCCTCACAGCTCTCCTCCCCACCCCAATTTCCTGCTAATAGCTGGCCTGTGTGCTGCAGGCAAGAGACAGCTTTTAGCCTCAGGGCTGGGAGATAGAGCAAGGAAAGCACAGGAAGCTCAGATGGTGCTCCAGCAGCCTCTGAGACACAACCTGTCACCAACACTGCCTGTCACTGCCCCGAGGGCTCTGCAAGCAGCTGAGCTGTGCACTGAGGCTGCCTGGGGCTGCCTGRGGCAGAGGGAGGATTTCACGTGGCCACTGCCTGCAGTGCTGGCATGGGAGGCTCCCACTGAAACAGCAGCAACTCCAGGCCACCTACAGTGCCACACCAAGGCAGGGCAGTGACTGCTCACAGAGCCACCAAATTCCTTTTCTCTGCATAACCAGGCTGAGGATGAAGTTGCTGGTGCCACCAGCACCAGCAGGGCCACAGCTATGGACACTGACTCCACACCCAGTGCAGGAGGCTGCAGTGTCAGTGGCACAGAGATGGGAACACCAACACTGAGAAGGGGTAACTCCACTCAATTCTGGCCCAAAGRCTGGAGAAGAGCAGCCCTCAGCAGCACCACTCACTGTCTCGTTGCCTGGCTCCTGGTAGTCTCCCCAGATGAGGAAGGCAGAGCGGTGATCCGCAGTGGAAAGTGTTGCTGGGCCAAGATTCCCTGATCCCGAGTTCAGCTTCAGGTCCCACKGCACTGTTCCAGATCCACTCTCAACAACCATAACCTAACAGGGAAGAAAAGAAAGGAACTGATGACAAAGGTATCTAACAAGCCATGAGAAAGGAGTCAGGTCAGCTGTCTCTCCCCACACTGTCTATGGAAACAAGTATCTGACACATGGAAAGAAGAGGAAAGACTTGAAGCAGAGCATCACAGAGCTGTGAAACCTGGGGTGGGCCATGTTAAAGTCACAAGTTTTGCAGCGACTTCAAAGYTCTGTCATTGAAGCCTCTTGCTGAGAAGAGAACTGAAGTGCCTGAGCTGGCTTCAATAACCTGTTGAAAGAGATCCTCTCAGCTGAAAGCTTCCTAAAATCAGCCAGACAGAACACATCCCACCAACTGCCTTTGACTCGACGCCTGCTTCAGCTGTGACATGCAGAGAAATGGGATGTTAAAAGAAGAGATTTCTAACCTTCTTCCTGTTGGGTCCAACTTCACTCTCCAGGACAACAGCAAGAACATCAGGTTTGTAGTAACCGAGCAGCGGCTCACTGAGGGAAAGAAAGAGCAGGGACACATCAGAACCCACCCTGATGGTTGGGCATACTTTGCTTTCCCAACTGCCTCTATCCTCCCACAAYTGCCCTGGTAAGAGACCTGACTGCCATAGCGTTGGGCTGGCCTGACACCACCCCAGTTCTGAGCCCAGCCACATCACAGCAGGCACAGAATGAGGAATCAAAGCTTTGAGCTCCCCCACYCCGAAGCAGCACCTGACATTTGCTMRCAGAAAGCACACAACACAATAAGCAAGATCCAGATATGATCCAGGCAAAAAAAGATTGCATCTGCCAGGACACTGCTGTTGCTGGGAACCTTGAAATGCCACATCCAGTGCACACTGAGAACACTACCTCAGAGCACGGGACACGTTGAGGGTCCACAAAGCGCGGAGATCTTTTGTGTTGATCAGCGTAGCCATCTCTGAGTGCACCACCAAGAYATTGTCCCGTGACTTCACAGGAACTTTCACCAGGTAGCGAAAATCTCCAAAGCTGAACAAGGACAGAGAAATTATTAAGCTCTTTAGACCATGGATGGTTTTACTGCAAGGTTGYGAGTTTTTTCCCTTAATAGTAAATGCAAATAGGAAACCTCAACGTGCTTTCCCTGCTTTCCTGTGAACCTCTGATGAAGCCATTAACACCAACCCTCTTCTTGAGCTTTGGATGTGCTCCTGATGCAAAAGCCATGTAGCCAGGAGAGAACAAAGCCCCAAGAGGCCACCCTGACAGTAACACCCTCCACCCCACCAGTCTCCAAGACACAACCTCGCACCTGGGAAGGGATAAGCGGTGTGTGGCACTGTTAATGTTCTTCTCCCAGTGAGGATCCTGCTTGAGGTTGGGTAGSTTTAATTCCATACCAACAGCTGCACTGCACAGCTCTTTCAGGGAATATGCATAGAGAGAGTTGTCTGTGCAAAAATAAAAAAAAAAGCAAGAATGAGAGAGATAAGTTATCCTGCCCTTGCTCTGAACTCTATGATTTTCCAGATCTGTCAGATCAACTGTATTTTTAGGGCTTGCATCAGAGAGTTGTAGTGGCATTTTGAGACTCAAGCCTGCTATTGAATGCTTTAACATTTTATCTGTTCATAATCCAAGTGTTCCACAGTAATCATTTGCTATAAATGACTGCCTAATCCTTACATGCTTGACATTTGTTAAATAAAATCACTACAGCTCATAACAAACCGCAGTTTAAGCAGAAGCACCCCCTTCTCTTGGCCCTGAACAGCTCTTTRACTTGCTGAAAGCTCTACACAGCTTGTAAGAATGCAAAACACTCTCTCAGATGATGTTTACTGATCCTGATCTCACAGTTACAGAGATCTCCCACTCTTTCAGACTGAATCCCCATGCAGAGCTGTACCTGTGTAGAAAAGGAAGTAGGAGGAGGAGCGCAGGTCCAGCCTGACGTAGCGAGCGCTCCCATCCACGGTCAGGCTGACASTGGAGCCAATCTGTTTGCCAGTTTTTCCTGAAAGGATTAGGGTCTCAATCTATGCAGGGAAGGGACAAAAGACAAAAACCAATAAGGTTAAAGCTGGTACTGAACAGCAGCTGAATGGGAGCAGCAGGCTTGGATGGAAAGTCTCTCCATGGTTTTGGAGAAGTGGGCATGAATTTGGTAACCCCTCTGCYGTGAATTCTTCTGCAAATTTGAAAACCACTTCCATCACAGCCACCTGCCYKGAGATTTTGTTACCTCTGTCACCYACCTTCCCTGAAGACTGGGACTGTGGAATAGCAGCCCCCAGCTCTGTAAGGACAGCAAAGATCTATTCATGCCTAAGATGAAGATGACCTAAAGGCAGGAACAATGCAGCATATGGACATGGGAAACTTGGCTTCACATGGCAGCTCTGCTAAATGTTTTAAGTGCCCTAATCTACTMCTCCTTAGGCTGATGTGAGTCCAAGGAGATAAACGAGCTGACAAGTTTCTGCTATTCTTTGTGCAGGGTAACAGAATCCACTAAAAACATTTCACCCAGGAGAATAAAGGTTAAAGTCAGGATCAGATTCAAATGTCTGGGCAACAGTCAGAGTCTGGGGAGAGCAATGCACTTTAGGGRCAAGTGAAACATCAGACCATCAGAGACGCTGAGTCAGGCAGGAACCTTTCCCACTTCCTTCAGAGGGAGGGACTGGGAAAGAGAAGGAAATCTGCTGCTCCCAAAGTCAATCTATAGAGTCTGGCAGGTGAATCAGGGATAAAGCTTGCTGAGGAGAATGAGAACACAACTGGAGAGGGAGAGCAACACATCCACAGCTGTTCCCAGTCTCCTGCACTGGGAGGAGACACACACCAGCTCTGGGAGATGAGCTGCACCTTTACTGGCAAGCACTGGTCCAGTGGCTGCTGTGGGACAGTGACAGCCAGAGGTATTTATATGTAAATAGCATGATATAGGTATTTATACAGGGAGTGAAAGAACACACCATCTTCCTCACCACACTGCCATCCCCTTTGGGCTGCCACTGGAGATGGATCCCAAAATCCAGTGCATTTTCGGGGATGTGATTGTGCTGAAGCTTGAAGCAGGTAGGGGTGAGTAGGACTCTTTGAGAAAGCTGCTGTCTAACCCCCTGCACACAGACCCTTCCCCAGACTGCTCACAGCTCTGCCCTTGCAATTTCAGCCCTTGATAGCAACAAAGCTCCTCCACTTGAGTGCTGAATCTCCCCACTGACCACACTGCCCTTCCTAAGCTGCAGAGCTCCATTCCAGCTCCTACATTTGCATGATTCGTCAAAAGAGAACATACTTTTCCTTAAGTTGGCAGAGTGCTTGCCAAGTCCAGAGGGAGGAAGGGATTTCATACCAAGATAGCAAGAGAGCTTAAATGGAAAACAGATCAAAAGGCAGGCTTGCAGAACACAGGCTACATTCAAACATTTCTTGGCTGCCTAAGATTAAAAAAACAAAAGTCTTGAGATAACTGGGATAGCAAAAGCAAAGAGGAAAGAAAACAGAAGAGAACTGTAGGAGGTGGAGAGGATAAAATTTCTGATGACTCTGGCAGCAATACCTTGGACAGCAAAATCCCATTTTCTTATGGAGGACATTGGCCAAGAAGGCCATTGGCACCTGGCTTGTACCAGCCATAGTGTGGCCAGCAGGGCTGAGGAAGTGCTTCTGCCCTTGTACTGGGCACTGTGAGGGCTGTTGGAGTAGGTCCAGGGAAGGGAAGGAAGCTGGGGAAGGAGCACATGTCCTGTGAGCAGGRGCTGAGGGAGCTGRTGGGGCTCAGCCTGGAAAAAAGGAGGCTCCCSTGACAGGAGGGTGGAGCCAGGTGGGAGTCGGGCTCTGTTCCCAGGGAAYAAGGGGCAGGATGACAGGAAATGGTTTCAAGCTGMACCAGGGCAAGTTCAGGTTGGACAACAGCAGGATTTTCTTAACTGAAAAGATTATTAAACATTGGAAGGGGATGCTCAGGGAGGTGGTGGAGCCACCATTGTGGGAGGTGTTCAAGGAAARCCTGGAGGTGGCACTCAGTGCTCTGGGCTGGTGATAAGTGAGGATCAGTCACAGGTTGGACTCTGATCTCAGAGATCTTTCCCAACCTTCATGATTCCATGACTCTGGTATGAAGACACAGGGCTCACACTACACCCATCAGACCCACTGGGAGCTGTAATTTGTGTGCTTAGAACAGGACAGACTGGGCATGCAGATGATGCTGTGCCACTCCATCATGGATGCAAATGATTTAGCAGAAACAYCGTTCTAACTACATGACTTTCCCCCTCTCAGAATTGGGAAAAGCAGTATTTGGAGGAAGATAATACAACCAGCAGCTGTTTCACTAAATGAACTCAGATCAGAATTAACCAGCACAGTGACACTGGGAAGAGCAGTGCAAAGCAGACCACAGGCAGAGAGAGGGAAGGGATCAGAAAAGGGCAGTGCTKGTACAAAAGCACTGACTGTCAGCTGTGCTTTGATCTAAGAGCCARAGCTGTCAGGGTTTGTTCACTTCCACTTCTCGAAGCACAGAAGCAGAAAACTGCAAGCTCATCTTGCTCAGGCTCGCTCCCCAGACAGCCCAGGAACATGCAGTGAGGAGAACACACTGAAAAGGGGGAGGAATTGGTGGCCAGCTCTTTGATTTATTTTCTTTTTTTAAACCATAAAATACTTGTGCTGATATGGGAATACATCTCTGTAGGGTAGGAAAGAACCCACAGAAACCAGAGACCTCTGGACACTTCCTCTTAGATTACAATGTGGAAACAAACAGCATTCCTGACAACCCCTGTGGCTCAGCCACTGGAGTTATCACAGCGTCAGGGTGACATACCTGGTCTCCTTTAGTAATAAAGATTATCAGGTCTTGAACTCTGTCRTTATCCACATCTGGAATCACTGACAAAGGAGTCAGTGCCGTATAATTAGCTCCAAAGTCTCTGGATTGCCTCCACACAACTTCCCCTGGAAAACATTTAGTGGGAAACAGTCACTAAAAGGCACTTTAGGTTGAAAGCTTATTAATGSTCCTGTTCCAGCCCATCAGCACCACAAACCAGTCACATTTATGCTCATCATGGGGTACATCCTTGCCTTTCTGCATTCCYAATGAATCCCAGTATCCACAATTTCATCTTACATTGGAAAGCAATCCCAGCTGCCTGCAGGAATGCACCTGAAAGAACAGCTTGCTTTCCTTGTGCCTTTGGTTAACAAGCTTCCCAGCATGTTCGTGGCATGGGGAATCCTTTGCTGTATCTAAATCCCTGCTGTTGTGCACTAAAATCTGCACAGACATTTYGAGACCATAAAGCAGCTGAATTCTGACCAGAGTTGTTGCTACTTCCAGCAGAACCTCCTTTGCTGCACGCTGCCTGCTGCAGATGTTCCTGCAGATGTTCCCCACTGACATGACCAGCCACAACTCAGGCCACATCCCACCTCTCCCTTCTCTGAAGAACACACACAGCCCAAACTGGTTTGTAAACTGTGGTAATAAAGCTTTTTTTTTTTTTTTTTTTTTTTTTTTTTTTTTTTTTTTTTTTTTTTTTTTTTAAAACAGGGGGTGATTGGGGTGGGTTTCTCTTCAACAACTCCAGACCAGATCCTGCCCAAGGCTGTGGGCCACTTTCCAGCCACACAGTGGAATTTGCAGTGGAATCCGGCAGGGAGGACACTGCTGCTGGTTTTTCTTCTTAATGAACACTTCAGTGTCTGATCAGGTGCTCAAAGGGGAAATGTTTACCCTCCCCTTTACCCAGAACGAACACAGCAATTATCATTTCAGGAATGCAAAGTAATCATCTGTTCTTTGTCAGGAAGGCAGCTGGACTGAAAGCCAAGGAATTACTACTTGATGCTGTCTGCAATAATTCAAAGCAGGCTGTATTTCCAGTAGGATTCCTCCAAAGCTTTTACTGCAAGACTGAAAAAAACACTTGGATTTGTTACTATGACAACAGATGTAAAGTGAAGAGAGCAGATTTCCTGGTTTCCTTAGGAAATCATGGGAAGGCAAAGAATTTTGCCCTCGAAGAAAATAAGCAGGCAGAGGAAGAAGAGCTTTAAATTACCACATTCTAGCTTCAGGACAGTCCACAGGTACAAGAGCAAGACCAGGCTGATGAAATTCAATTGTCAGTGCAGAAGGCTCTAATCTGTGATGGTTAGACAGCAGATATAGTGTGGGAGAAAGCATCTTACTTTCTTAAAAGAGCAGTCTGAGTTAAGAGAAACAGGTGAYACTGAGCTGAATTCAACACCAGGCACTTGAGAAGCTTTTCATGCTCTAGCCCAGCCCCCAGAGAGCACAGGCACTGAAACCAGCCCCCTCCTGCTCCATCAACAGGAGATGGGACTGTCCTGTCTGACATCTGCAGTGCCCCAGAGCTTCCTCAGAGCACAGGGTCACGGCACAAACAGAGCAAGAGGAGCCAAGATGGAAATTAGGCAAGTGCCTAGACTGCAAATCTAACCTGGGCAAAAGGGTTGGATTTTTCTGGTCTGGAAGGAATAATAAAATCAGAACTTAGATGACTGAGCTCAGCTCTCACTTGAAGCAGCCGCAAAGGGAACAGACTTTTCTCCCTTTCAGACGTTCTCCAGGTTGGAATTCTGCTTATTTATTTTGTGATTTCTCACACAGAAACAGTTTCATACGTCTGATCATCATGGTGCCCTTCCTCCCATATCCCTCAGAAGTCCAGAACCACCCACAGGGCTCACAGGTCAGGCTGCTGGAGGATCAGGTGAAGAGAGGTGMAACAAAACCCTTACTCCTGTCCTCTTCCCTGAGACTTTGCTTCTGGCTCTGTCAGAGATGGAATAATACACAGCTACAAAGGCTTTTGCTTTGACCTGGAACAGTTAATCTTAAGCTCTTATGTGTCCCAGTTTGCTGGCAAGATAAACATGCAGGAATGCTGGATGTCCCACACAAGCAGRAGCATGCACTCCTACACTTCCCCTCTTGCCTGCTCGGGTCACTTCTTGTGGCAATGAAGAAAGSAGGACTTAACATAACTTCAGCTGATAAAAAAACCCAGTAACTTTATCGGCATTTAAAGATCAAAACCACATCAGACACTTTCAGATGTTAATCTGCCTATCTCTCCTTCAATCTTCGTACAGGCAGGGGCTAGACAGCCTGAGAGCCCTGGAATCTCACCAAATCCTCCACGATGATGAATCATTAACAGCTAAAGATTGTGCTGGCTACTGTTTTTAGCACACTGTGATGTAAGTTAGACTTTGCCTCTTTGAATACATTTAGCCTATTTAAATACATTTTATTCTCTCTGCCCTCCTAACCCCCAGTCAACTWCGCTCAGAAACCATTCTTAACCTACTTAACAGCAAAAAGGCATCAAATACACAAACTCCTGGGTTATTCACTTTTCTATCAGAAGGATTTTTTCCTCTCTTGCTTTAAAGTTATCTATGGAATGTTTTCTTTGCTGTATGATTAGCTGTATGACCTGCAGCTTAGCCTGGCTCCTTCTCTCCACACTTGTCTTTATGGCTGTCTTTAGTTACACGCCTTTGGCTCCACAGCCAACTTTCTACACTTTGACCTGAAGGCAACAACTTCATTAATAGTCTAAAAATAACCTGTGCTAAAGCCTATATATGAGGGAAATGGTGCTAAGATATCTCTGTCGGTACAGAAACTTTCAAGCTCTGTATGTAGCTACACTTCCATCTACATTGGAAATTAAAAGCTACACCAGATTTTCCTCAGATTCTTTGGAGCTGCATCTCTTGCTATTTCTTTTTTTTTCAAGTTTCTGGAGAACAGGGTGTGAGAGGTTCAATACCGGATACAAAGGATGGGATCCTAGGGAGAACATGTGTTGTGTAGACCTTTGAAACAGTGACCCCCAAAATGAAAATGTATTTTAGGCTTCACCAGCAAGGAAGGTTCAAGGTGCAGCAGATGATCACTGTTCCTAAAGTAGTACAGGCACTCCTTACCCCCACCCACGTTAGGCAAGATGATGATGAATTTCTCCACCTCTAAGTTTAGAAAGGAAGAAACCTTTTCAGAGAAACCAGGCAGAATCCTGGACTACTGAAACAGACTGGCAAGCACTCAGGATAAGTGCTCTCCTTGACGACTTTAAAATCATAAATGCCTAGAACTCCCACTCCTCTCACCACAGCAKGCGCTCCTGGCACGCGCACACAAATAACTGGGAAACGTCGCAGGTGCAGGGCTGTGCCTAACCCCGGAGAGTATAAAGTAACATTCACAGCCAGAGACTGTTCCTCCTGCTTCAAAAGCTGTTGGAACACTGATCTTATGAAACAGTGGCTGGCACAAACCCCCACCAGAGCCCAGCCTTAGGAACAGCGAGGCTGAGAGCACGCGCTCCTCAACGCCCAGCGAGCAGCTCTGGCAAGGCTTCCGAGATAATAAACACCCARTTTAAACACCATTGTTCACGTACCAGTGACAGTCATGTCACGCTGATGCCCCCCCTGGAGGCCACCAGGTGAAGAAAGCAAGCGGCCGGTGCCCTGTAAGGCAGCAGGGCTCTGCTGACACTCACCTGTCCGCAGGTCAATCGCTGTAAGGGACAGTGGCTTCCCCACCACCAGGCAGCCCGGGGCCTCTGCTGTGCCCAGCTGTTGGATGCCACACTGCAGCCACTGCACGTCCTCACCAGTGGGACTCTCCCACAGRGCACTGCCATTCGTGCCAGACACGGCAGCAATGAAGGCACAGGGAGACGGCAGYCCTGGGGAGAAGAGATGTCACAGGGAGCTCCCCCTGCACCCACCTTTGCTGCCCCGCACCACCCAGGAGCTGGGACTCAGCCAGCTCCTCTCMCCACCCAGTTTTCTCTCCCAGTCACTAACTGGAAGTGAAGAGAAAGGCCAGCCCTCACTACAAGGCTTTTCTGAAGCAGGTACCTTCATCCAGGCAGGACCTGTTGAAGCTGCTGCTGCCGTTGCTGGCCTTGAAAGCAAAGACCACATCTTGCACTTTGTCTTCATTCACATCTTCTATAGCAAGGAATTGGTAGGCCACTGCAAGAGAACACAGGCCAGGCTCTGGTGAGGATTTTCTTAGCCCACGGCAGACAAATTTGGAGCAAAACATAAATTCCTAGAGACCTACTCACTTGGACAGTGTAGCATCAGGACAAATTGGCTTTTGTATTAAAAAAAGCCACRTACACAAGCACTAAGAACAGGAAGTTAGTGCCAAAGGATTTTTCAAATTTGCTATCCCCCAGAGGATTTGTCTGTTTTAAGAACCAAGGAGCCAGAATTTGATCTATGTTGAACTAAGAACAACTCTGGTCTTGGTGTGGGGCTGCTATTCTCAAAGTATTAAAAAAACCCCACCCAAGCCCCACAAAGCCCAGATACTTCATCTTTCTATCAGCTAAAAGCAGCTTTCTTGAGCTCACAGTAGCAGAACCTGGGATGTCTGCAGAACCTGAGATGTCTGCAGCTCCACATGCAGCTCAGTCCCTGCTGTGAGCACTATCTCTGCATTTACAGCACATCCAGCACAATCCACTGCACACAAGATTAAAGAAAAGCTCTCCCAGAAGCGATTGCCGAGCCACTGGGGAGCAGGACCCAGGCTAAAGAGCCAACTAAAGCAACCAGAATAAAAATAGCTATAGTAACTACAAAGCAATTTATTAAAAAAACAAGATGGAATTATTATTCTTCCCTTCCTGTTGGCYGTGGGGAAAAGGGAGAAAGTCAAAGTGAGAGAGGAAAAAATGCCTAATTGCCTCCAACCTCAGCTCGAACTTCAAGGGAACATTCTACAGAGCAAACTTCAACAGAGATTTATTCCCAGATACCCTTCCTCATTTTTTTTTCCTGAATGAGGCCAGCCTGCTACCTTGTTAGCACTTCAGAGCACCATCTAATTTCTCCACTAGATCCTGTAAACACCTGCTGGAAGGCCACTGCAATTATGACGGGCCATTGCTTATCCAGGTCAGGTATGCACAGCTCTGGCTCCCAAGGGCTGCATCCCTGCAGGTCTGGCTCCATRTCGTGCTTAGGTAGAGGCCCACAACCCAAATTTGTGGCACAGAAAGGGGAGTTAGTATTGTTGGTTAGTATTCATTCTGCTGCAGCAAGCTCACCTGCATCATTGTAATACTGGAACCATGTTCTTTCCGAAACCGGCCTCTCCGGGCAGGGAATGATGAAGGAGAAAGCAAACACAATGATCAGGCAGAGGAACAGGGAGATGAAGAAGGCAGCAGTGCGCCACCGTGACAGCCGGGACAGCCCCGAGGAYTTGATAATCCTTCTCTCCACACAGTGTTCATGGTTCTCCTGAACTTTGACCTCCTCAGTCTTCAGAGGGTGGATCTCAGCTTCTGAGTCTTTGTTATCCATCACAGCTCATTCATCRGTACTCAGACACCCTTCTACCCCTTCACCTGCAACAATGGAAAGAAAAGTTAAAATAAATGTTGAAATATATTTAAAAAACACCAATTAAAATATAGTGTTACTACCTGATGTTCACACTGGACACATTAAATGGGAGGTGAGCAAATCAGAGTATTGTCACAGAGCTGGATACAACACACTGTGGTGCCGGAGGTCTCCCACAYGGAGCAATGGGAAGAGTCCGTGGGATTGGTGTTCTTCCAATCCCAATTCTTCTCCAGGGGAGGAAATGAGCTCTGCTAGAGCTGGACAAAGAAGGCTACAGACCCCACGCAGAAAGGACTGACTGRTCTGCAGGTCCCCCTCAAGAAAAACATACAAAAACTCCTTTTGCTGCAAAGACTTCTTGCCACCTCCTGTGCATGTCAGCCTGACTCCCAGCTAGAGAGGTGAAAGGAAACACTTGTGACCTTTATATCCCAACATAAGGCTGTTCCCTACTGTAATGTGCACTTGAGCTTCCCCAGGAGAGAGAGAAACAAACACCAGCATATTCTGTACAGGAACRAACTAGAGCTATTCAACACCCTCTAGCATGAGAAACCACTGGGTAAGTTCAGCAACCCAGCCCTGCCGAAGGCAAGAGAGTGATGACTTCTCTCCCTGGAGAAAAAACAAGGCAGGAGTTGAGACTAAAATCAGGCAAATTTGATTTCATCAGACTGGAAGAGCTAACAACTGCTATTTTAGTTTCTCCTTCTATAAATCATAACCTTGAGCTATGGCTACAATAAACAGAGGAGTTCTGTGCTAATTTGCTGCAAAAACAGGGGAAAAAAGAGCCCTAGTCAGAGAAGCCTGTAACTCATTACCCACAATAACAATAAAAATCGACATTTTATACAGATTCTCTGATAGTGCCTCTTTAAAAAAAATACCAGAAGGGAAGAAACAAAGAATAACACATTCCAGTAGGCTTGGAAAAAGTGTTATGAAAAGTTATATCAGAGCAAATAACCACGACAACCAAGCCAATTTTCCATGACCRTGCCCCAGCAGTCACGTGTCTGGGTTGTCCACTGGAGCCATTTACTTCCCCAGCAGAAAAGAGCTTAAAGTCAGCACCAACATAGAGCAGAGAGCCTGGGATTTCAACTCCACCTGCAWCAGGGCTCTCTGCGTCTCACGTTTCCCCCCAGGTTCATTTACAGGTTCTGTGAAAAACAAGATGAGTCACCCTGGGGAGGCTCAGCTCCTTCAGGCAGCTGTGGCTCCCCAGGCTGTCCCTGTCCCACTGCAGAGGCCTCTCCTCTCCTCCTCTGGTACAAACCACAGGGGAACCAACCCATGGCAAGGCAGGGGCTGAGGCACAGGATCAGCAGGTCAGCCTGGTACTGTCAACCCTTCCACTAACTCCAGAGCCTGCTGGACTTACAAGCAGTCCAGCACTTCAACTTGAGCACTCTGGTATTTGTTCTATGACATCAAGTACAGGATCTCACTCCAGATAATTTAATTCAACCTGCATGATAGCAAGCAAATGAATCAATAATGCAGAAGTTGCATCCTGATCTTGCTCCAAAGACTTCATCTGTCCTTCTCATCAGTCTACCAGCCACACTAAGGACACCTTCATGAGGTCAGTTGTTCCCAGACCAACTCTAGGCACCTGACAGGGGTAGRAAGGCTCCAAATGGAAAGGAGAGCAACTGATCAAGTGGTGTTTTCGGCCTCTGCCCTGAGCTGAGCTCTGCTCTGTTACTGCAYCAGCCCTTCAGCAGGTTCAAGGTACGAGTCTCCAGGCTGAGCAAATGACTTACTGGTGTGGAGCAGCCATGGCYGCAGTGATGGGGATGGTGGCAGGARTGGGTTAYGTGACCTCCCCTGCACTGCGGCAGGTGGCTCAAGTGTCCCTGGCATGCCCATCTCCAGCAGCACAGAGAGAGGGATCTTATCAAACCAGCACCACAGCACAGGCTGCAACAGGGCTCCAGCACAGTCCCACCAGCCTCTCCAGCAGAGCCTTCCACAGCCCCCCAGTACAGAGCTGGGAAAGATCCAGGGCACAGCCRAATGCTTCCAGCACCAATGAAACTTCCCAAGAGGAATCTAACCCAGGCTTCTCCCCTCTCTGTCCAAAAGGGGCACCAGTTAACACAGCATGAATGGCATATTTTTATGACTCACTATAAATCTCACCACTGTCATCTAGACTGGGATGAGAACAATAAAAAAGCAGTAATTATCCTGACAACCCCAGTAATTCCCCTCTTTTCTGCAATGATGACCCTACGGAGCCACCGAGTACAAAGAGCCCTCAATGCCTTTAAAGCAATTCTGTCTCTTTTCTTTCAGGGTTTGAATAATGCCCTTTGCACCCCTGCCAGAGCAGAGGCGGTGCCAGAACAAGGACCACGAAGGTCAATGGCAAAGGCTCAAACAATGCAGGAAATCCCAGCGCCCGCTGCTGCCAAAGTACACGCTGGCAGCATGTGGAATGGCCTGAGCTCGGAACAACAAAGAGAGCTGGTAATCAGTTTAATTGAAGACAAGCAGAAAATGATAGTGTGCATCTCAGATGGTTTTACTGTCCTCTAACAGCCGACATCTTGTCTCCTGCTGGAAGAGGACACAAAATAACTCAGCTGTGAGGTTTAATGCATCCAGGCACCTTTCAAGGGAACAGGCAGTGACAGGATCCTGTGCTGCTGTAGTGTAATACAYGCTACATGCTGTAGATCTGGGGATGGGAGAAAACATGGGAGAAAAACTTTGCATAATTAGGAATCACATGTGACAGACCCAAACCGAACACACACAGCCCAGGGAGTGTGGCAGCACAGCCAGGATCTGCATCTCAGATAGGCTTCCAGAGCTCCCCAAGTTTCAAAGRCTGCTTCCCCCAGCCGTGGGATGAGCTGAGCCCCAAACCCAAGCTGAATGGGAACAAACACCCTTTCCTGTACCACAGTAACAACAGGACAGGGCAAACACAGCTTTACTCACCTTCCTGGGGGACTGCCTCTCCTGCTCCCCTGAAGCCACAGCGCAGATCTGATCTGCCTCAAACCAGTGACACTTGTGCAGCTAAACCCAAGGGACAAACCACCAGCAGCAGACAGGCAGAACTGCCTGACAAGCAAGGCTCTTGCACAGAGAACCACTGACAGTCAGGTGGATGAAGACTGGTGACAGAAACTATTTAAGGATCTGTGTGTTGGAAAGGTTTAACTCATTTTCCACCCATAAAACACCAAACCACAGSATCTGGAATGTCACCAGTTTTTCCCAGGAAATTTCCAGCAATATACCATAACTTAGATTTGATGTTCAACATTGTTTTATCTTTCACAGAATGATGAAATCAGGCTCTGTCTGGACATTTTAGGAACACAAACACAACATTTGGCTGGTTTGGTTCTGGTTGGTTGGTTTAAGCACCTCACAGGTTTCCTTCCTGTCAGCCAGAAATCATTGAAACCCCAAGCTGCAATCAATAATGATAAAATAGCCACGTTTTGCTCTGAAAAAGATCCAACATCCCACTACAGCTGCCTTCCATGGGCAGAATGTTGTGTTTTGATCCTATGTACAGTGTGACACTGCAGATAACTCACCAGGCAGTCACCTGCTATGACATTCAGTCTTGGGTCATTTGTTCCCTTTTCTGCAGTCCCATTTACATCAAGGTTCAGACAAGAAGAAACAACATGYAAGATTTCCCCCAAATGAGCTTTTCTCTCCCAAGACACTCAGGCTGCACCCTACACAAGCCTATTGTTTTGCTGGGTCATCTGAAGCTCAGACAACTCTTTCCTGACATAAGGTCACAGCCAAGGGCTGGCTGGGGACACTGACCCAAGGAGACCATCCCTGTCTGACACCAGGGCACCTCTGCTCCTGCCATGTCCCTGCAGCCTTGTTTGTAATCCAAACACCACCAAAAAGACTGGTGAGTCCCTGGCACAGGTTTGTCCGGAGAATCTGTGGCTGCCCTGTCCACCCTGGCCTTTGAACACTCCTTGAAACAGTAGTGTCCAAGGCCAGGTTGGATGAGGCTTGGAGCAACCTGGGATAGTGGAAGGTGTCCCTGCCCATTGCAGGGGGTGGAACCAGATGAACTTTAAAGTCCTTCCAAACCAAATTATTCTGGGACTCTCCTGCTAGAGCCGTCCTCAGGTTCTTCTGAAATGACATTTAACCCTCCAGTGGAGAATCAACATGTGAGAATTCCCACAGCAAGGGAATTAGAAACTTCTCMAGAGCACAATCACCCTGGAATGTGATACATCTGTCATTTGCAGGAGACAACCCCTCTTTTCCAGGGCAGTTATCACTACAGTCAGGGGTTCAAACACAGAAACTCGAACTGCTTAGGGAAGAGCAAACCAAAATCCAGTATTATTTCTAAGATGAAGAACAGCATTAAAGCTGCAYGGAACTGATTATAGGTCAGGCCAGTAATAACAACTGAGCTGCAGAAACACCAATCATTTCCAGTCCCAGGGTTTACAAGCTCCACTGCATTCAAGCCACTCACCCACTGCTGCAGATCCCCTGCCAGCTTCAAGGGTAGAAGTCAGTGGGGTGCTTGAAGCTCCCACATCAGAGACACCCCCACCTCATCCAGAGACACCCCCACATCACCCACAGGGCTCCCCTCTTCCCTCAGAAGCACAGTGACATCCCTCACCAGCACAGACTGAGCACAGGAGGGACTCTGGAGWGATCTCCATGCACGAAATCCCCTGGAAAAGGCTGTGGTCGTTTCATGTAAGTTTATTAAGAAGACAAAAGAAAGTACATTTTTTAGGTGGAGCACTCACTCCATGGGTCACAAATTCCATGCTGCCTCCTGCACAGACTAGAGAGGTTTATGGCAGCATGAAACTGCTGTTTCAAGGAGTGTTCAAAGGCCAGGGTGGACAGGGCTTGGAGCAACTTGGTCTTGTAGGTCCCTGCCCATGGCAGCAGGTGGAACAAGATAATCTTTATGGTCCCTTCCAACCAAAACCATTCCATGATTCTATGAAACAATGGCCTTTTCCAGATGCTGTTCTCCTTCACAGCCACCTCCAAGAGAAATCTCTTTTCTCCTCCCAGAAGTGGAATTTTTCTCTCCCTCTTACACACACACAGAGCAAAGCCTCTCAGCTCCACAGGCAGCCCAATCCTGCCCTGSTGTTGGGAAGGGCTGGCTCCAGTCCCTCCCTGCAGCCAGGCTGCCCCTCTCACTCCCAGCAGTTATGCAAGATGTTTTTGCCTTACAAAATAAGAAGAGGCTGGAAACGAGGTCGGAGTTGACACATTGAAGTATTTTTCTTTCGGCAGGAAGCCCTCTAATTCACGCCTGCAAACCAGGCTCGTGGGCTCCCAAGGGAAACATGAACAGGACTTTAACCCTCTCTGAGAAGAGCGCTGAGGCTCTGGGTGTGCTGAGCTTTGTYTGACTGAAGCACAGACCAGGAGTCTCAGGTGCTGCGTAAGCAACTCCCCAGGCTCCCTCGCAGCTGCCAGCCTGGGGATAAAGGAGCTCGGACCAAAGGGAGCAACCTGGACTTTGGAAAAAGGGATTCAATTCTTYCCCAGGCTTCTATGGTTTGGGAGCACTTGCTGAGCTGTCCAAGGTGGACAGCAAACCCCTCCGGGTCCGCGGGGAAGGCTCCAAGGCTGGGTTGGAAGCGCTGACAGCCGCGGGCTCTCACCGGCCCGGCCAGCGCGGGGACAGCGCGTCCCGGGCCCGTCACCAGCCCCGACCCCGGCGCTGCACCGGCCCCAGCGATGCCACTGCCAGCTCCAAGCTACCGGAGCCGCCGGCAGCGCGCGGGCAGCACGGACACTGCGGGAGCCGGCTCCCTTCTCCGAACGCCCCCTCACAGCGCGAAGGCACGGCCCGAGGACAAGGCAGCGCTCTGGGGGCGCACCCACGGGAGCGGCAGGAGGCCGTGATGTGGCGGGGGCGGCCCAGGACACCCCCGCCCTGGCCGAGCTCCCCCGCGGCCCCGGCCCGGCCCCCGCCCGCCCCGCTCCGCACTCACCCCGCGCCGCCGCCGCCGCCGTCACTTCCGCCTCCATCCCCCGCCCGCTCCGCCGGAGGTGACGTCACGCCGCAGGGAGCACTTCCGCCCGGTGTAGCAGCGCCCGGCCCGCCCGGTCCCGGCGGCGGCGCGGGCGGAGAACCCCCGCAAGAACGAGTCGGGGCAGCAGCGSGAGCCACAAACACAGATCTTTAATGCGCTCAGACCGCGGGAGAACAGCACAGGCACGTACAGGCACCGCGAGCCGCGCCCGCCGCCCCCCGCGCCCCACACGGAGGTTACAAAACAACACGTGAAACCGCGGAATTAGTTGTAAAAACGGACAGGGAAGGGGGGCATGCACTAGGGACTGACACCGGGGAACGCTGCGGCGGAACCGGAGCCGCGGCGGGGCGGGGGGGGGTAGGAGGGGAAAATGGAGGGAGAGGGGAGTGCCGGCCGGACCCCGCCCCTGGGAACGGCAATTAATGGCGTTAATTAACCGCCTCACCGAGTTAACGAGCAGCCGCCAGGCTCGTGCCTGCCAGCGCCCTGCTCGGCGGGTGACAAGTGCTGCGCTCACACCGTTCCCACAAATGCCGAGCCTGGGGGTCGCGACTTCTGCCCTCGTGGGAAACCAACCTTGGTACAAATGAGCGAGTGACAACGGCACAGGCCTCCCACACGCGTGGGGACACGGCCGGTGCCKCGCTCCCACGAGTGGCACACGCTGGCACGGGCTCCATCCCGAGTCACCTCTGCCCCTCGGCACATTCTGCCTGACTGGCCTTGGAAAACACAGCAACGCTTTTGTCTGCGGGTCAGAAAGCTCCCGGGGAAGCTCTGACTGCAGAGTGCACAGTAAATAGGCAGATGAGCTGTGGCTGTGCTCCTCTAGAGAAGAAAGCARCCCAGGTTTCCCACTGCTTTGCTCACACCCACTATCTGAACTGTAAAAGTACTAAARCCAGACTTGAGCCCAGCTTAGAAACATGCTCCAGCTCATTTGGTCATCCTCACAACAATGAACAGCTTTCAGAATAGATCAGGGCCAAATTTTATSTGTTTTGACTTAGCTGGGCAAGTGAGGCAACTCTCAAGTGCCAGAGACATAAAAATGAGGTGGCTAAGCGCTAAAAGGAAAAGAAAATTCAGATTTTTTTTCTTTAACATATATAAACAGAAGAAAAAATATAATTAAGTGAGAACCAGTGCTACTGGTGTGCTCACAGAGGGCCAGGTGGGTCTTTTGGAAAGGGCTGAAGCATTACAAAAGTCAGGGCAGCTCAGGGCTCCAGGCACAGCATGACCCCGACTGCCACGCTCACTGCATCAGGACAAACATGGGGTGTCCACRCTGGCCTGGACTGAAAACCATCCATCCAGATTTATTTATTCCTACTAAAACAAAATCCTGTTAAACAGTACATAACTCTGTGTCTCTACAAACTCACAGCTACCTGCCAAACAATAAAAATCCCAAACTACAAAAGATGAGTTGTATTCAGTAAATATAAATGGGAAATTTAGGCTTTGTGTAGAATGTTTATCRGACTATTTACAGTGCAACACAGATCATTTGAGTTCAGATCTCGCCAGCTTCTCTCTCTTCTGACCTCTTGGAACGAGATTTGCCATTTGTGCTCTCRTGCCGCCTCTCAGAAGAGCTCTTCTCTTTCCTCTCTCTGTCTCGGGACTTTTCTCTTGAAGATCGATCTCTAGAAGATCTGAAGTACAAAGCAAAAAATTGCTATCAGCTTCACAACTAAAAATTGTCAAATACCCACTAAACAACATTTTTCCCTGACAGAGCTGTGGGATACAAGTTCCTTACAGGAATGTGCCTGGATACTCTGGCATGGGAGTGGGTCCCCCACGACAGCAACTCTGGGCCCTCTATGAGGTTTCCTTAAGGGAATGTCAGCTCTGTAGGCTGAGTGCACAGCACAGCCTTTGTTACACCTTCCTCAGAGTGATTCTTTCAAGCTGTTCCCACAGGGGCTCTCTCAGGTCTTCCCTGGGCCCCTTATTATTTTTCTGGGCCACACTCAAATGCCTGCAGTTTCTTCCTCATCTCTGACTCATCTCAGTTCATGTCTTCCAGAGGAGTTTTTCATTATGCCCTAAGCTACTGGCTTTCTGCTCAACWGCTTTAAATACCAACTGAATTCTTTGCTGGCTCAGCCCTGGGCTTTTTGCTTTGCATCCTGACAAATGCTGGCTTTGGCAGCATCCTGGGTTCATAGTCAGGATGATACAGATTTACACTCACAGCCCACAGCACGGGCATATCTTTTCACAGCCACAGATTTTCAGCAGYGCGTCCCTGTGTCAGCCCACGCAGAATTAAGCAGAAGGCTTCACATTAGGTCTAATCTGAGAGGCTGTCTCTTGTGTGATTTCTGCCAGCTCACAGAATAGCAGAATTCTAAAGGAGTGATCCTGAATGAGCTCAGCAGAGGCTCCCACATGTTATTCCAAGGCTCAGGATTTTTTTACAGTCACAACAGAAGGTACCTTAGAGGTACCTTTCATTCTTGTTGATTTAAGGTTTGAAAATACTGCACAATTGATATATCAAAACCCGACAGCCATTTAATTTTCATTAAATTGTATCATTTGACATCAGTCTGTCTGATGAGATTAATTCTCTACCTGTTCCACAACACCTGCTGCCTGCAGTCCTCCTACCCTGAGATCTCCAGATCCTGTGACACACTCTCCATTCCCTTCAGCAAGTGAAACCTCAGACMAGCAGAACCTGAGGGCAGGTTTCATTAACTCAAGGTGAAAACAGAAGCTACTCTTTCAGAAAACAGGGTTTTTCTGTTTGTTCTCTTGTTTTTTTTTATTTTCTTAAACTGATCCTGGCCTTTCCCCAGCTCTCTCAGCAATTTTGTGCAGGTGTGTGAGCTGGCCAATCCCCCTGCAGTCTCAATGGGCTGGTTTGGATGTGTTCAAGGGTTCCGAAGTAATCCCTTACCTGCTCTTTAGTAATAGTTATTACAGGATCTTCCTCACTTCCTAATTGTCCAAACTTCTTTTCTTTATTTTTCATGTTCAAGACAGATTTAAAAAAGCACTTTAGTATCTCAGCCATTGGAGAATCAACAGTATTTACACCCCCCCTCAATTATTAACAGACTTATTTTTCAGACCATTATTTCCCTCCCCTTCACCAGGTATCTTTAAAAGAAAAGCTGTTCTTACCCCTTAGCTAAACTGACACAAGACACACAACAGTAGGTTTGTTCTAGAATTGTACTTGAGTGCTGGTGCCTAATCAGGTAACACTAACCAGGTGTCTTTAAAAAAAGCCAGATCTAGCTTCAGCAAGCACCTGGAGGTAGACTTGCTGCTGGGCTTAGAAGGGCTGTTAAGGAAACACAATGATTCCAACTCAATTTTTCTAATGCTCTATAAACACTTGCCTCATCCTTCCTCCAACACAGAGGCTGTTTTGCTGGGTTTCAGAAAAAACTTTAAGCCCTTCTTTGGACTATAGTGCTTCTCTTCAGAGACAGAAGAATGGTATACTCCTCCTGCATTTCTTTTTCAGAAGGAAAAAGTGCTAATTCCTAAAGAGTTCTCTCTCTCTCAAGCAACCTTCTAACAGAAAACAAACCCCAGATCTCAAATCATAGACTCCTTCCCAATGCCAGCAGTGAGAAAAGGGATCTGGGAAGCAGAAAATAACTACAGAAATGTAACATCCAAACTGCCTCTCARGCACTTGGCTTTTACAGGCCCAGGGAGGCTCAATTAGCTCGGGGAGGCTTCATGGTGCTTCGCATACAAGGAGCTCGAGGCTCAGCACTGCAAATCAGGGAACCTCTTCTATCTCCTGATCTCCTGAGCTCTCCTCTCAGCTGGGATCTCACTGTACAGCTACTGCCCTCACATGAGGCCACTGGGAAATCCTGCTTTGGCCCAGGAGGTGGCACAGGCMACTACAGCTGCTCTGGAGAACCCTGCCATGTGGGGGAGCTGGGGAGGGCACTGWGAGCCAAGGACTCCCCTTTCCAGAAGCACTCCTGTTGGGAATACATACTTGTGTTTCGAGCTCCTGTCTCTGGACCCTCGGCGGTGACCTCTGCTGTGGCTGCGGGAGCGGCTCCGGTGGCGCCTGTGTCGGTCCCGGGACCGGGAGCGCGACTTCCGCCGCTCCCGGGAAGCTGATCTGGAGCGCCTCCGCCTCCGCTCCCGAGACCGTGATCTGGAGGGGACACACACTGTCTCACACCTCGGAGCCATCTCTCACACACTCCCCAGTAACAAATACCCACAGCATCAGCACAGCCCCCCCAGCCCATCCCTGCCCACACCCAGGGCTGATCACACACCCACACAGTGGGCAGTGCCCTCCTCCTGGGCCTCATGCTACCAACAAAATGCCAGTGGGTAATTCAGTTTGCTGGCAAGCTTCTAGAAAAAGCTCCCACCATTATTGTAAGCACATGGCAAGGGCCAGAGCAGTGCTCTGCATCCYTCACAAATCAGTGCCTGTATAAGTAGAAGAGAGGCCAAAGGAAGTGGCCTGTGAAATTACTATAACCCTAAGAGTCTTCCTTGTAAAAGTCCTGCACTTTAGAAGCAGATTTATTTCAACCTGCTCTAAAATTAAATAAAAGATGTCAAAGGAAAGCAGTAGAGAGGGAGATCATCAGGTCCATGATCACAGAGAATGTTGCCACAGMATTAAGGCAAACTTTTCCCAGAGATGAGGGGGTTTTCATCTCAAAAATTAAGAGATCTATTTTTGCATCTAAGGTATTATATATGTAACAGATACTTCAGATATTAAAACTATGGAAATATATCAGGTATTGAAAGAAGGCTCGAGGACATTCAAGGGCTCATTCTCTGGAGGATACAAAGTCCATCATGGCCAGGCTACTCAGCACCTGCTCTACAGCCCAATGAGCGACACCAGGCTGAGCAGCATCACTGAGGTGCCCACACTGCACTTCCCATTTCTTTCAGGGAGCAAACCARACATTGAGGCATTGAGTGAACTCCATTTGTGAGACCCAGGAAAAACTTCAGTAGCTAGAGAGAAACACAGACAGACATTTGGGAGAACTGCAGAACTGGGCACTCACCTTCGACGATCTCTATTYCTTGATCCAGACCTGGAAAGGAGAGTTGAGTGAGAGAAGTTATGATAAAACAAATGTGTTTTCAGTAAGAAAGTTCATCCACCCTGGCAGCTCTTCACAGGAACAAGCAATACACCAAGTGATGCATTAGTTTAAAAAAAAAAAAGCTTGCAAATAGCTTCTATTTTGGGACCAGGACGAATTTATCAAAAAGTGGAAAACTGTAGAAACACGAGTTTCTGCACACTGAGCTTCGTGTCACAACAGAAAAGGTCTAGAAACCAATTCAGGCACTATTAATAATGAACTTTTCCAACTAAATTTTCTATGCGTATTTGTTATATATTCTTTACTCCCTGCAGTCTAACACCAGCTGGAACAACTAACATTTTCAAGAAGTGCTACTCTCCAGTCAGAAAGACATCTGTCAGTTTTCTGACTTTGGTTCTTTTGAGGCAGTTGCACATTTTAGGGGGTTTTAATAAAGAAAAACAGCCTTTTCTCACTCACTGTATTTTGTTTACCAAACATTAGAAGGAAATTTGCATCAGTAACTTTTTCCCTTTTGGGAAAGATAATTAGGAAAAAAGAGGGGACATGGCCACAAGGGAAGAACTATTACTGACAAGTGACAGATAAACTGAAAATCCTTAGAAAACACTTGAGAAGAATAATCCAGGCCTTGCTGGATTATTTMTCACATTCCACGAGCTTCAGAGCTCGTGTATTGCACTCTGAGCCTGCTGTTGTCAGCGTTAGCTTTTGGCAGTTTGTAAATAACAACAGCAGAATTCTTTCAACTTCTGCAGCACCATTACTCAGCACCACTTAAAATACCATTGCACGTGGAAGCCACACCCTCCCTCTTCCTCTGTGGCCACATTTCAGAGCCATCTGAGTGTCACATGGTAGCTGAAGGATCTCATTTTGCTTTAATGAAGCAGTGGCTGCTCTCCCTGTTTAGTGGCTTAGAGACTGACTCCTGTAGCTGCTCCCCACTGCACACAGWCTCACAGGGAGGTTCCATTTACATCCCACAGAGCTGTTCTGGCACTGTGACAGAAGATAAAGCTGAAAGCTTCACACAGACAAAAATTTAAGATGCAATCGAGAAGCATCTGTTTTAATGACATCACTTAAAACCATGCCTGGRTAAGACTGAGAAAATCAAGGTGCATTGACATTTACTCACAATSAAATGTGATTGTTCAGTCATGGTAGAAAGCAAAAAAAAAAGATCCTAAATTTAGAAAGGAATCCAGGTAGGGCTGTAAACAAGGTGGAGCTGAACTTGGGAGTCTACAAACAAACCATGTACTGGGGCACCACACATGAGCAGGTGAAGGAAAAGCTGATAAACCAGGAGAGCAAGGCAGTAACCACACACCTCCAGTCCCACATAACAACCCAACAGAGCAGCAGGACCTCCTGTAGATATCTGGCATGCAGCTGGATTTTTTTGATGGTTGTAATTACTCCAAGTTCTTAACGTTCTTTTTCCTCCGGATCACTTTATTCTGAACCACCAGTGCACACATCCACAAAAGCCCTTCCACATCCCCTGAAAAGCCTGGCTGCCCTTCCATGCCTATGATCTGAGCAGGAGYCTGCACAAAAAACTCCTGATATCATTCCCTAGAATCAGACTTYAGGATTCAGGAAGTATTTAACAAAACAGTATTTTCCTCACTAGCCTGAATCACGGTACAGCAGGAGACAAAAGAAGAATGCTGTCCACAGGAGCAAGAGGCTGAGTGAGTCTATTTTTTTCTTTCCTCTTCTTTTTGCCTCTGTATCACAGAGGCTTTGTGCTGAGTTTCATAACCTGYCTTTTGTCCAGCTTAACACAAAGGAATTCCATTTGGCACCTCCACCAAACTTGTTTGCTGGTGTACTCTGGAAGCAAACACTGAGGTCTACACTTCCAAGCATGCCACTTTTCCTCAGAATTCTCCTAAGAAAGTCTTAGGAGATTACTGGGTACCAAACAGCCACCAGCAATATCAGACAGAAGACTTGTGTTTATTATCACTAGGGTGGCAATCCAGTTCACTCATCCTACATGGAATCACAGTTTACTGGCAAATTAATGACAGCTGTGAGAGGCAGAGTTCCACRAGGGATTCCATTGGTTTCCAGGGATGTCCCAGTGCCTGTCAGTCCTAAAGATTCCCAAAGCCAAGCCATACTCTTTCTCTTACTGAAGTAACACCATGAAGGTGCTGTATAGGAGGACATGACAAGCAGAATTCTGAAGGAAACACAYTTCCTGTGGTTCCTTAAAGCATGAAGCTATGGATAAGAGAAGCCATCTGGAAGGGGGTAGAAGTAACCAGTTACTTTGTGATGGAAAAATGCCCCTGGTGAGCATGGTGTGCACAGCTCCCAGMAGAGAAGGGACTGAGAAATCTGAGACCTAACGTCAGTTCTGACACTGAATGTCCACTGTCGTCCCTTGGCTCACGTTCTCATTTTGGAGAGGCAATTAATTTGAGCTCCTCTCTATGGGACTCYTGGCTCTTTCAGAACCAGTTCTTTTTGGAGCACACAGGTGCCTCTGCACAGAACCAGAGCAAAGGYCAGCCACAGTCTCTAAGTAACGTCACAATGGAAACAGCAAGAACTCAGACTTTAGGCCAGCTCCATGCAGTTCTTAAACCTTTCCTATTTTAAGCCTTAAATAAACATTCAAAAGCAGCCTTCAAACCCCCTCACCAGATGCTTCCACATATGCACTACCTGGGAATACAAGAGGCTCCTTAGCTCTCACGAATTGAGGGTTTGGRGTTTTTTTAAAACCACTAAAACAAAACCACAGGCACACCACAGGAGGAAGAAAACCAGCATTCTGAGATACGATTGATAAAGAGACCCAGAGGATTCTTCCTGAAGTTTCCTTCCTGAAGCAAACTCTGTTGAGCAATTTTCACAGAAAAATGACCTCCAGGAAGAAGAGGCATCATGGAGACCAACTGAGTCCAGGTTAGGCAGGGTCCTGCTGTGGGTCTGGAAGAGCCTGTAACAAAGCAGCTGCATGGGAAGACACTTCTGGTTTCACTTCCACCTCTCTGACCATAGCAGCAACAGAAGTCCCTTTTGATTAACTCATGCTCTCATCAGCTAGTTACAGATCCTGCAGCTCCCAAATTTAACTGCACTACAGTTACAGGGATACCAGAAAGTTGTGAGGCTCTCCATGAAGTGCTACAGTTCAGCAGAAAACTGAAATGTCGCATGAACTGCTGCTTCTCATCACACCAGGCAATCCCCAGAGAAAACCCACATAAAACACCCTAACTAGAGTTATGCATAACATGCATATAATAATATGGATAATGAATAACAATTTGGGGCTCCCATCTTTATAATACACTAAAATCACCACACTGCTTCATGCTGGTCTGTATTTGTCAGCAATTCCAGAAATTCTAGAGTTATGCATAACATGCATATAATAATATGGATAATGAATAACAATTTGGGGCTCCCATCTTTATAAYACACTAAAATCATCACACTGCTTCATGATGGTATTTATTTGTCAGCAATTCCAGTAATGTGTAGCCAGAGCCAGCACCATCTTTGAGTACACTGCTCTTAGAAATCTCATATGCCTCAGATAAACTCAGTCTCCAGCTGATTCTGAGGGTCAAAAATAGCTCTGCACAGGCAGCAAGKTTGGGGTCTTTTTGATGCACAAAGTACATGAGGAGAAACACATGAGGTAACCAGGGAAATGCTGTGACAATGAGAAGAGCATTCCAACCCAGCCACTTCCTYTGCCTGACCCCTGCAAATAACCACCCTCGCCACACCAGGCTGTTTAACTGAGCTGTTTATACACAAGATGCCTCTTCAATTCAAGTACAGAAGAAATTGTTTTTCCAGTTCAGCTAGAAAGATGCAGAAGAGCTTGTCCTGAGAAAGTCCCTCCCACTGCTCAGGAATTACAGACATCTGAGCAGAATGTGACACAGAAGGTGGCTACAACCACCAGAAGAAGCCACTCCTTGGGATCCCTCAGCTTCCTTAGGAAATGTTTGCCAAAGCTGTGCCAAAAGCACYTCACTGTTATTGTAGAAAAGATGCAGGCACCCACTATTTGGCTCATGGACACCAGCCTGTTGTCACATCCAAGCAGTGTGGAGTGCTGTCCAGGGAATTTCTGCTTAACTAGTGCTTTTTGAGCAAACCTAGTCCTCACTCATCTTAAAACTTCCACACTCAGATGCTCTGGATGAGGTATTTTATCCAGATTCAGATTCCCCAAKACAGGGATTAGACCAATATAAGCCTGAACACTACAGGGAACTCAAATCCTTCAGACACACAATGGAGGTTAAAATACATGTACCATCACTCTAGGGTGGGAGGTCTGTGCATTGTTTTCATCTTTAACTGAATCCCAAGATGCTCACACAGCATCTGAAGCACATCCAACAGCCACTCCAGAWGCAGATGCTGAATTCCTGCAGTGCTCATGTACAAGAAATCAGATACTTCTAAATCAACTTCACAGGCCAATTCCCAGGTTTCACTCACCGTCTGCCCATCCTCTCCTCTCGTTCTCTCTCCTCTCTCCGTCTCAAACGATCCTGGTTTCTCTTCTCTTGCTTTTCTGCCACCGTTTTCTAGGGAAAAAAAATCCACATCACATTTCACCCATACAGTAACAGGTAAGAGATCTGCAGGGACACCATTCCAACAGAAAGACAACAATTTCACTGCATTTTATGTGCTAAGTCAAGGTCTCTATCAAGGTTCTCATTTTCCTCAGTTGAGGCACTGACCTCAATGCACTGTGAATGAGGCAGCGGATTCACAACTCTTACTCAGCTAAAGGTCTCTGCAAGCAAGGTCAGTAGCACAACCCATTACAAATCATTTCAGAAAACTCCTAATGCCTTCAGCTACTCAAGACCTTTTCACTGACAGAATCATGTGAAAGTTCACTTCAAACACTTTTTTAAGAGTCTCAAAGTCAAAACCCCCAGAGTTACAAATTTCAGTCATGTCAATGACAATGGCTGTACGGATACTCCAAGGAATAAATTACAGCAGTGGTCYGGTTTGACTGATTCTGAGGGTGCATATTTAGTCACCCAGAAAGCACAGAACAGAGTGCAAGACAAGGCTAAGCAAAGCTCCATTTGATGTTTGGGAATTCTGCACTCAGAAATTTCTGAGCTTTTACAAACCCTCTGTAAAGAATTCTGTAATAAYTTAATAGAAGTGTTCAAGGTCTTCAGAACTACAAAGAGAAGGTTTAGAACAGAGAGGATTACCCTCAGCTGATCCAGTTTCTCACGAATCTGAATGAAACCCAAGTGTAATTTGCCTCCAAAGTGGTCAGCAAGACGCCGGTCGTTGTCATGGAGACCCAGATATGCTGAACAGACTTCACACACACGCAGCTTCTGCTGCTGGAAACTGGATGCAGGCATTGAATTTCGGTATTCTTCCTACAGGGAGGCAAGAAAATCCACACAAATGTCAGGGAGCCCTTACATAGTCACAACCCCCCAGGGAAACCCCTGCAAAGAATTGTTTTGAAGAATCAAAACCCACCCTCATACAAAGGAGGTGCCACACAACGCTTTGTGGGCACAGCCAACCCRACAGTTTATCCCTGCAAGGGACTGGTGACCAAATATTTCAGAGGACAAAGCCCTCCCTGCCCCAGTCAGCTCTCTGCACTAGATGAAAGTTTCTAAAAAGCTTTTCATCCACCACACCACACTGCCAACTGTTTGCTGGCACATGGCTGGAACTAGAAAAAGAGGTGCTGAACAGAGGTAGAAAGCCACYCAGCCTAGCCCAGGCCCCTGTATCAACTCTCAGAAGAGCCAACATCATACCTCTGCCTCTTTCTTTTTTGCTCGAACTTTCTCCACTTCCATCAGGATCTTTTGAGACTCATCAACATTTCCTTCAGCTCCCAGCTGTTCAGCTTTAGCTAGGAGTTTTCCAATGTCTTCATTCAGCTCATGTACTTTCTCTGCCTGAAGAGAATRTTTAGTTTTTAATAAGACAAAAATRTTATAAAGCTTGCAGCACAACTTTTCCTTTTTCTTTAAGAAATACTGTTTCACAAAACCTGTTGTTGGAAGATGACTGTGAATCTCCAAAAGTCCCCAACAAAAGTGACTAGTGGACCAATCAAAATGCAGTCACACAGATGTGACAGAGAGAGAAACTGGATGTTAAGAGATCATGATCTGCCAGTCATTTCTGGCTTACAGGTCAGCACAGAGTCCAYAAAACCAGCTTCAGAAATGTCTTGTATTGGCTCAATTAAGCAAGTTTCCAAAGAGGAACTCTATGAGCATTTGTTAAATGAAACAACAATCATGAGATGGATTTATTATTCTAAATTATGATGATAATGTTTAATAGCATGGGGGAGAAACCAATATGCTTTATTACTATAGTAAATCAATTTCTTTTAGAGTACATGGTCCTCTGTAAGTTTGTCTCCATAATAGCCAGGGCAGTATTTGAGSATGGCTGGAATCCCCAAATCCTCTGTGGAGCTTAACTCCCCAGTATCACTGATGTCAGAGAAACAGAACACCAGCGCTCCCACAAAGACTTTCAGAACCAATGGCTAATGAGAGCCCAATACCTTTGCAGACACTTCAGCACTGATCTCTTCCTGTGTCTCAGCCAAGCGTTTCTTGGCCAGTTCTGTTCTCCTGTCACACTCTGCAATGAAGGATTCCAGGTGATCCATCGCCTGCATGATCAGACAAAGAATTATGAATAAAGGTGCTCTCCACGTCAGATGTAGCTTTGACAGCCAACAGCTGTAATCCCAGTATAATGCACAAACAGCCTCCAAAAGAGATGCTTTGAGAAAAAGAAAAAATTACACTTTATAGAATAACTAACATTTGACCCCTTCCCTGTAAACCTGACCCAGTTCCTTTACTCTGACCCATCACAGGATGCTCACATCAACACTGCTTTGCAYTGGAACATCCTTCCTATGCAGGAGCACCAGGTGCAAAGACAAAAGCACTGGAATAACATGAAAGGAAAGACAGAATTGTACTTTCCCTTGATCTGTTCCATCACAGAAAGGTGAAATGAAAGCTAAATATGACAAAAGTAAAATTACTGAGTAGAAGGCTTTTAATGTTAAATTTCTTTCTGGGACAGGGCACCAGRTTACAATGACCTGGCACAGAGTAGCAGGTGTGGGGTGCAAGGAATGCCAGGGAGCCTCCCAGCTAGCTGGGCTAATGGGGTAGCAAAGGGCATAATTATTTCTACATTCTCAAGTCAGCAGTCAGGCTGGCATTCAGGAAGGGGCTGCACATTCTGGACAGGTAACACATCAAATAACATGGTGAGCTGAAACTTGTTACCGAGTTCTACTGTTCAGTAACTTCAAGAAGCATTTTCCACAAAAGTAACTAAAATTTCTCCATACTCACATCCAGCTCAAAGAACAGGTCTCTCTCTTTACTTGCAATCTCATAATCTGCTCGCAGAGCCAAATCATGGATCTTTGTACATTCTCCCAAGTCCATTCGCTGTTAAAAGAAAAAGGAGAACCCACGTGAGAACCCTCCATTATGRCAACAAGCAGCAGATCTCTCTTGCCAACTGCATCATAGCAAAACAGTCTTTTCATGAAAAGCAGCTTCCTCTTAACCCGTCAGTACCAGAACCAGCCAKAAGAACCGCATGCTTGCCAGAACTCCTTTTCTAGATATTCTGAAAGCAACAATAAAATACCCCAAATGCTTTAGGTCCAATCCTACTCCTGCTCAAGTCCCGGGACAGCCTCAGAAATGGCTGTAAGGGAGGTGGGTCTCCTTCAACAGGCAAATASCCTCTKTCATGGAGCCACAGCACAGCAGAAYACAACTGCACCCTGTTTAAAGCTCATCTGGGAACKCACATCTGTGTCAGGCTGAGCCCAAGTAACATACCACACACACAGAATTGTAGGACACACACAGAATGCTTTCTATCAACAACAAAAGGACTTAAAGGAATAAGGGCTACAGCCAGTAGAAAGGCACAACCCCACACTCARCAACAACAGACTATTAATTCCACAACCAGCCCCTTCCCACATCCAGCTGCTGCCTGGAATTTGAAAACCTGCCCAGTAAAGCTAAGTCCTACACGTAAATCCATTTAATGAGAGACCTAAGGGCATCTCCCTTCCCAAAAAGCTGACCTGCACATTGTCCTTCCCTCCCACTGCACTCCATGCTATTTCAATTTGTTATTTTTTCTCCCACCTAGCAGTTAACAGCCACATGAACCCAAGTCCATTATGCTCTCAAAGCACAGAAGCTGCATTTCAACATTACAAATTTGTAACAAAGAACATTTCTTTTACTCTTGAAGTAGGAAAAGAATATAACATTTTGAAAGCCAAAATAATAAAAGCCCTTATTGTGAGCCACAGTAAGAATGGCAGGGTACATATCATTGCATGAAGGAATGCCCCAACCCACCATCCTCTTCTCTCACAGTCACCACCAGTCCCCAGGAGCCCAAACCTGAACAWGCACAACAGGTGTGACCTCAGTGAACTGCAGAAAAAGCTGAACTGGGAAAAAACGCTGAAAACCCCTGAGGAATATCACAAACTAGAGCTGGGGACACTAACGTGAAACAAYGCGCTCAGAGAGCAGTGTTTAGAATGAAGCAACTAAAGCGAACTCTACCAGTTTATGCTCAGGTTTTCAGCAGGTGCTCATTATTAGACTTTCCTTTTTTAGGGGAAAAAAAAATCCAGATGACTTGCCACTATTTAGCCTTCCTCATTTTGCTCAGATTTACCAGAACCAGGAGGCCACAAGCAGCAGGCTACAGACACAGACACTGCATCCAGAACATTCCTGCTGAGCTCTCTAATGGTAGAAATTTAATGCCTACGAAAAAAAGCATGTTGGTACAGAGCTTGATCATCTTCATCTTCAGGCAAGCACTTCAAAGAATGCTACAGAGCTACTGTTATTTTACCACAAAAATAACTTTCAATGATGTGACACATCTTTCATTCTTCTGGTCATTCTACTGAGATCACTTTCCAAGATAGGGCGAAGATAATGGTATTGGATGAGATTGTCATRGATAATAAGTATTCTTATCTGAGCTCTTCTTGCAAGCTGAGCCACTAACTCTGCTTGAGAGAAGGGGCTCTGACCACTTCAGAAGAGCCAACAATGTGCTCCCTATTTCTCTCCCTGTTCATTAACAGGCAACGAATCCCCCAACCTCTTCCTCAGAGGAGAACATTCCGTTCTCACCAGATACAAACCTCAAACCTTCCTCCACATTCTTTGAGATGTTCTACTGCAAGGAGACTTCCACAGGTATTGCTCCCTCGGGGTAAGATCAACAGCCCTTCTGTCTCAAAGCATCCTGTCATCCCAGGGAGGGCTGTCATCACCCTTTTCCACAGAGATCACAACTTGCCCCAGTCAACACTGGCTGGTTTATAATGCAAGTAGGTGAGACAGGCATCCACAGAGCTCAGTAAAGATTTAACTCCCCCCACACAAAAAGACTAAAGAAATTTAGATGTCATTCATAATCAGTCCTGCTCACATTTGCAGAGAAATCCACATTCTGAGGTCTCTCCTATGATCTCCACTGAATTGCTAACTCATCACAAAATGAAATTTCCACAAAGAAGATGCTCTAATAGTGATCAGAGCTACAGAATTCCATACAAGTGAAAAAGAAAGCAGGAACACTCTCTCACCCCACAAAAAAAACAATTCTAGAATCTAAAGATTTCAGCTCATATTTCCCAGTCAGGGACACCGTTAATTCCCAGGATGTAATAGCCAATATCTATGTTCAACCTGGGCAGCTTTGAGCCTCATCAGTCCACCTGTTAGCAGAGCTGAAATTCAGGAGGATTGCCAACTGATGCCATCTCTCAAAATGCTACAGTCCTTCCACTGACAGAAATATGCTTACCATGAGCTGCAGAGAGAACTCACCACTCATCACAAATTATGTGGATGACAAGGTCCCTGGTAACAGCCCATCGACTCACTAAACCAACTTCTGTTTTCCCAGAATGTTCCTCCTTACCCACAAAGACCAAAGAGAACMATTATAGCTTATTTAGTGGCAAGTTGAGACAACCTTCTGGGGCCAAAAAAAGAATAATCACAGGAACAAACCATCTTAAAATTATAGCTGTTATGATTAGGAACACTGGTGCACCTAAACAAAGCAAACATCAATAGGCCTCCTGCAGCTCTCAGGAATATTCCAGAGCTTTGCTTACAATCTGGACTCCTTCTCTTACACTACACTTGAAGGTCAGTGAGTGGGACTCCATCACATTTCACTGAGCACAGCTACCCAAGGGATCAGCTTCCTGCTTGCCTTCAATCAGCCCCCTACTAAGGAATATCTGCCCACATGAAGGATGCAGCACTAACAATGCCTTTGGGGGAGGATGCAGCATAACCAGCACCAGAAGGCTTGGAGCATCTGTTGGAAGTTTCCAACAGATCCAAGGGTATTCTGCAGGAATACACCCAGAGATGGACTATACCTCACCAAGAAGGAAATTCACCCACACAGCTCTTCCTTAACAGAGCACCGTGAAGTGCCAGTGAAGCTGCCCGAGATCACGAGGAAAGCCTGCACATTCCAGCTAAGTTGCATTCTGTACTGGCAGCGCTGACAGCTGAAATGCTGTTCCTGACCTGGACATCACATGTTCTTTCAACGCAGATCTGGAGCACCAATACTTGCTCTTGCCCCCAGGAACCTGCTAACAGAGGTGTAGAACTCCACACCCACTTCAAGGCCACCAAATGATCATGTGAGTGATCCAAAAGATCAACTGTGCAGGAGCTGCTCCTGCAGTTTCTGAGCACAAACTCCACAGCAAAATGGAAAGGACAACTCAATCAAGACAAGTAACAACAGAAGCAAGAGAAACAAACTCCTCAAGGTGCTTCTCTRGCCCAGGAGACTCACAACCCACCTGAACACTTCAGACTTCCCCACCTTCAGACTTGGCATCAGCTCACACACATCACTTAGTTCAACCCTTTCAACTCATCATTTACCCCATTCCTGAAAACCTGCTAGAAGAGGTAGAAGGCAGCCTCCATCTTCAAAACACCCTTTTGGCCCCAAAAAACTGTTGTAGAATCTCATGTCAAAAAACATAATCTGACCATAGTGACCTACACAAAGGACGGAAGTTTAAAATTCTGAACTGGAAGTGAGGTGATCTGGAGGCTGATTGAGCAATCAGTGAAAAATACATCTAAGCTTCAAATTAATTTTAAAAAACAGAGGTAGAGAGATTGGTATTCAGTTTTTCCAATCTTGTTCTGCAAAGGCAGCCCCTGAGAAGCTAAAGTTTGAGTACTCCGAGCCAAGACAGCTTTTGCTACAACTCTTTCTACGAGTGCTGTCACAGTCCTGTGACAGTGACACAAGTAGGGGCAGCAGTGCCAGCCCTCCCTTTGCTGGAGATCCACTGCATCCAGGCAGCTCCCTAAAGAGGGGCAGGAAGGGCTATAAATAACCACAGCATCTTTAAACAATCTGGTTAAGCGGACAGACACTGTGAATTGCCACAGTGTTTCATGCWAACAGCGAGGGCAAAGATCGATTTCAAACATCCATATTCACCTCCATCCTGCGACTGTTACACTGAAATGGTGACAAAAGACACACACAGTTTTCTTTTTCCAAAGTCAGGCTGAGCTTTCATCTKGGAGCCTCAGCTGAACATTTACTTCATAAGAGCTCACTGTTAAAAACCCACATCACCTTCTGCTCTCAGAGGCAGCACGTGAGCCAAACCTTTGAATGCTGGCCAGCTCTGTTCCCACAGGGAGCAGCAAAGGAGCTGAAACAACTGTCTGAAACCAGTCGGGCAGAGTGACACAAACAACCAAGYAGCTCAAACAACCAACACTCAGCCAGAGCTGTGACCTGCCACCACCACCCCAATTATGGCAGAAAAGCTGCCGTTCCATCAGGGTTGGAGAGAGGAGATTGAAAATCTCCAGGGATTAGTGCAGCAAGAAAACACTTGCTAAGCTGAAGATGCAGCAGCAAACCAGGGTAGCAGCCTAGCTACAGGCTTGGAACCACCACAGGAACCACCAAGTTTCAAGCTCCAACAATCCCAAACTGCAAAGGATAGTGAAAGACTTCAYATGGGATTGTGAAAAAAAAAGCATTTCAGGTGAAATCTGAGAGCTCCTGACTTTGTTTTTTTGAGAAGTGAGAGCAGTTCCATACACAGGTCACAGGAACTGGAATTAGGATTATGACTGCTCCCTGGGCACAGAAAGCCTGATCTCTCCTAGATGTCACCCACCCTGCACAGATGAGTACCAACACCTTCCTCACCAGAATCCCTTATTACAGAGAACATACTTACTGTTCCAGCCAGGATATCATGGGGACAGCAATCCAGAAGATGGCTCTTGCACACACGATCGTCTGTAAACTTCACCCTTTGTCTGGTTTCATCTCCTGAAATTCATGTGTGGTTTAAATAAGGAGACATTAGAACACCAGGAGAACACATTTTCTTGGCATGAGCATTTCACCTCAATAAGCAGATTAAAGTACTTGGTGCTCCTGCTCCCCAAAATTACTCAAAAATAAAAAAGCTTAGAGGGTAACAGGATATTCTGGAACACTTATAATTGGCAACAAACACTATTTTAGCATTTATTCATCCAGGACACCATGTTAAACACAGTGCTGGCAAGCCAAGCAATGTCCAAGGCCTGTCATCCATATAAAGAAGCAGCACAGCCAGAAGAGAAAAGGAGACAGACAGGCTGGCTCCCAGCCAAAACCTGTTATTTTTTCCACCCTTTTTATTTTTTTTTTACTGTGAAGAAGGGGCAGGASATACCAAACCCCACGCTATCAGATCACAAAACAGGGCTGTGCTGGGYAAATTTTAYAGGCAACTGCTCTTTGCTCAGGTGRTAATTGAGTCATCAGTCCATTTGGTTTGGAACCCAACTATGCAGCATGTGCTCTCCCAGGCCCTGCGAAGAAGGAGCTGGCAGGTCCTGGCCTGGAACACACCATGTGCTTCCCACCCACAGCCCACCCTCAGAGGACATTTTACACTCAGGAGCCACTTAAACGAGACAATATCAGAAAAGCAAAAAAAAAATAATAATAAAAAAGAAACAAAGTTAGTCAATACACACTGCGAGCTCCAACACATACTATACCCATCTGCATTCTTCAAGACCTCAGCTGCAGAATTTTATGCCCATTGTTGAAAAGTTTTAAAGGAAAAGCTTTCTTGCCCACACCTGCAGTAAGGAAGTCAGGGGAATGATACATAAAAGTAAAGGCAAAGTGGTAATGGTATGTGACAATTTTAAAGCTCATCTGTGCAYATGACACAGGTATGTGTAATACTAAAGTATGAATATAGTTTAGGATTCACAAGCATCCAGGAATAATGTTGTGTCTACTGAATTTTTTTAAATTTTTTTTTTCTTTCTAAGCTACACTTTTAAAGTTACTTGTGAAAAAAAGCAAACACTTTTTTTTTGTTATAACAGCTTTAAAAATTGGTTGTGACTCACGGCTCGATGAACATGAGGCTTTTCTGCAACTCCCTTGCAGATTGATGTAGGCAGGCAAAGATACACTGAACCTTTATAAATAAAATAGAGGGGCCACAATTGTTCAGTTTGTATGAAATAAAAATATGGGAAGCAATTCAATAGCAACTCAATACACAGAGAAAGAAAAGCACTTATTCACTTACGAAACAAAGTGCAAAGTGCCTGGACAGCCCTGCTAACGTGCCAAAGGGAATTTAAGTACCCAGCGAGTCGCAGAAGGGAGACACAAACCGCAGCGGGACCGTATTTTGCATGGGCTGTCACCTTTCTCGTCTCGGACAGCACCCGGCGCGGCCGGCGCTGCAGGCACACACCTACCTACGCGCCTCTGGACGTGCGGGCACGGAGCCGGCCCTAAGCCTGTCCGCGGCAGCCGGGGCCCGGAGCGGAGGGCTGGGCGGCGCCGGCATCTCAGGGGCGGGGGGCGCGGCGGGACCCCCGCCGGGCAGGCGCGGGCCCTCCCGGGCTCCCTCCGCCCCGAGCGCGGACAGGCCCGGGCCCGCTCCGCCGCTCCGAGGCTGGAGCCGGGCGGGCGGGGGCGGATCGCGCCGCAGGTCTGGAGCGGCGGCAGCGGCCGGGCCGGGCCGGGCCCCGCGCGGTGAGGCGGCCGCTTAGGCCGCGGCGTTTCCTGCAGGCCCCGCCCGCCCCTACTCACCGTCCCGGGCTGTGCCCATAAGCTGGTCCAGCAGGGCCCGCATCTGTGCCTGGGCCGACATGGCGGGGCCGGTCCGGAGGCGGCGGCTCCGACCAAGACCGGGACCGGGGCCTGGGGCGGCGGCGGCAGCTCAGCGGCCTCAGCAGCGGCGACGCGCGGCGAGCGCTGAGCGGAAACAGCCCCGCCCTGCGGCGCGCGGCATGACGGGAAGGGTAGTCCGCCAGGGGCGGGCTCCGAGGGGCGGGGCTGGAGGGAGGGAGGGAGCTGAGGGGCGGGGCCGGAGAAAGGGGGAGAGGGGGGGTGGATGGGGCGTGGCCGAATAGGGCGTGGTCGAATGGGCGTGACTGAGGAGGCGTGGTCGAGGGGCGGAGCCATGCTTGAGAAACGGGTGATGTCAGGGGGCGTGGTCGGGTTCGGAGGGGCGTGGTCTGGTTTGGAGGGGCGTGGCCGARCCTCGGGGCGGGGCTGGAGCGGGGACGGTTGGGGGCACCCCCGTCATGGCTCCGGCCCCGCCGCGGTGGCACCGGACCCAGCCCTGGCGCTGCTCTGGGTGCACCGTGAGCCGCCCCGAGGTTCGCCGCCGTGAGCACAGTAGCCAGGCCGTGGCGGCGCCCCGGGGCTGGGCTGGTGCCCGGAGCCGGTCCGGGCTGGCCTGGTTGCCGTCCCCACCGCATTGCTCCGTGGGCAATGTGAGGAGGGGGAATGTGGAGTAAGGAAAGGCCCTGCCTGGGGTGGAGGGTGATAGGACACATGGCCGGCCAGGCGGAAGCATCAGGAGCGGGATGGATGCATGGACAAGGGGACGAACCCCGTTGCGCAGGGATAGAGCCAGGAGAGGACCGCGGGCAGTCCAGAGCAGGGCAGGACGGGGCCGGACAGACAGCCCATGGCTGCTCTCCCAGCCGCAGTGGAGGATGAGGCCGCGGTTGGCAGGGAAGCTTCAGCTGTTGCTTTGCCGTGTTCTGTGTTCCCTTTCTGGCTTTCTGAGCTCCAGCTCCCACACCTCCCATGAGTTTTACCTGGTGTTTCTGCACCTTGATCTCCCAGCCCTGGCTGCCCTATGGATGCTCCCTGTGCCGGCTCTTTTTACTGCCAGGGGCTTCAGAGGCAGCGAGGGTTAGAGCCAGAGCCCTGGTGCAGGATGCTCCATTGGCCATAGTCATGCCTGATTTTCTCCCAGCTTTAAAGTTCTGTTCRCTTTCAGGAAAAGTCATGAGCCAGAGGCAGGGCTGTGCCACTGCTCTGCTGCACCATCCTGGGTGAGCAGAATCAGCCTTCGAGTAGCTCATCCAATCTTCCCTGCTTGTCCAAGAGGGTCTCTGCAGACAGGAGACCCCTTCCCTGTGGGATGGGAGCTCTTCATGCCCAGCCCTGGCAACGTTTGGAGCAGGAATGGCCACCCGGGGCACTCGAATGGGTGCAAAGCTGCTGCCCAAGGCTGCTGCAGGGGTAGTGGCATTGCCTGTCCCTCCTGCTCACCCTGGGGACGGTCCTGCTGAGCCCTGGGTGTTAACTAAATGTGTTAACTTTCCCAYAGAGGATGGACACCTCATCAGTCCCAATTCGGTGAGCCAACAGCCAAGTCATGTGCTCCCCACACCTTGTCCCACACCTGGGCASCCTCACCGGTGTGCCCAGACCCTTCCCACGTGGGCAAAGGGACAGTGCAACCCTTTCCTCCTGGCCAGACTGACCCAGGGGCTGTGGGAGCTCTCCCCATCTCCTGCACTGCAGGAAGAGGGTCTGTGGCAGAGCAGGCTGGGGACAGCAGAGGAAAGCGCCGTTCCCTAGGGATCACGGTGGTGAGATCAGAGTGGCTGTCCGGCTCCCAGGGCTGGTCCCTCGGGATGAAGGCAGTGGCAATGCCAAACTCTGCCAGTGCCGAGCCGTGCCGGCCGGGTGGGTGACAATGGGTGACGTCAGGGAGCAGTCCAAGGGTGCCCGTGGCTTATCAGCTCCCACCCGCCCTGTTTGCCCAGCAGTGCCCGGGTGGCTGCTGCTCCCGCTCGGCATTGCTGCTGGCAGTGTTTGGAGAGAGGAGAGGGAACTCYGGGGACCTCAGCACTGGGGACAGCTCAGAAAAGGGTGCTCAKGGCATTGGGGAGGGTGGGCTCTGAGGGAGAGACCAGGAGCTGTGCTCACCCCAAAAATAGGAGAGCAGGGCAGAACTGGAGCAGTGCTGTGGCTGTCCTCAAGTCCARTGACCAGTGTCCCACTCCTTGAGTGTCCCCAATACTGGTGACAGGGTCTGGTTTCTGTGTCAGGCCCTTGCCATCCTGTGCCCTCCTGCTGTCAGGGGCAAACTGTCCTGTGTCCTCTGGTCATCCTGTGAYCCTGGTCACCCTGCATCTCCCTGGTCACCACCTGTATCCCCTGGCCATGTTCTGTGCTGCCTCAGACAATTCCACGGGCACATCTTGCTTCCAAGGCAGAAATGGCACCTCTGGCACMGTGTCTTTGGGACCTGAGCTGATTGCCATCACCCCTGTCCTCACAGGGGAGGTGCGGTGTGGGCCAGCACAGCCACAGACCATAGCACAGACACAGGGCACCCACAGTGAAAAAGCTSTTGTCCAGCTGCTGTCCCTGCCATGGAGGTGACCAAGCCACTCTCCACGTGGCACATCTACCCTTGCATCCACAGGTTCCAAACCCCTCCCAGGTGTGCTCAGGGAGCCCAACATCCATCTCAAAGGGGMACAATGCTGGAGATGGGTGATCTGAACCTGCATGAGGGTGGTGCAGCACCTGGGGGGACCCCACAGAGAGGCTTTGCCCACTGCAGCGGCAGCCCCTGTTTGCAGAGGCATCGCTCGATACGCAGTATGTTCTTCAGAAGATCCCTACTCCAGGAGTCAAAATAGCATGAAATTTAATTTTACGCCTATTTGACAAAGCTTGATTTCACCTCCAATCAGCAGGGAGATAAGAGCCCTCGGCACAAGTGTGCGGGCAGTTTGGCAGCTGGGGCTGCCGATTTAATAGGTGAATTTACAGGGACAACACTTGAAAATCCCCTGGCTAGTGAACCATTAAGGTGAGCCCTGCCTTCCGTCCCCGCGTCCCTCCCCGCGCCGCTCTCCCGTTGCTGGGTGCTAAAGCAAACCCCAGCTCTGTTTACCGAGTCTACTATTACAATACGGCTACCAAATATTTGCCAGCCGTCAGCTCGCTGCTCCGCTATAAATACTTCAGGCCCAGGTGGAGGGAYGGGCAGGGGGAGCGGCGCGGGAGCCTATGCATGGCCGGGCAGCAGCGCCAAGGTGAGTGCAGAGACGCGGGGATGCCCTCCAGCCCCGGGGGTTTCTCCGGCTGAGGGTGGTGGTGGCTGGGGTGGGGTGGGGTGGCCCCACTCCCCTCTCCCTGCAGCCCGGAGGTGTGCGCTGCCTCGGGAGCTGAACCCCCCACAACCCACCCGGCATAGCACAGTGGAATGACCAGGGGTACCGCGGCGGGGACGGCACAAAGAGGGACACACAGAGATGGCAAGGACAATCTTAGGCGGGTACAGGGCCCCAGCACATTGTTTGGTGTGGCAGGAGCAGGTCTGGGTCCCCAGGATTTGTTCCCTGCCAGGGGTGTCCTGCAGCGAGGCAGGGCTGGGGACCCCTCAGCATAGGCAGCACAAGCTACAAAGGGGCCACATCCAGCTCAGGGAGACCCAGCCATGGCCAGAGCCCACCAGGGCAGGGGGCAGGGGACAGTGGGTTCCCCCTGTAGCTGGGAAACCCAGGGGCCATTGTGTGGGCAGGGCATGGGGTTCGATGGTGTCAAACCCCATTCACCTCCATGCACAGCCCTGGGGTGAAGGGGAACATCCCTCTGTCCCACAGCTCCGGGGAACATCCCCACTGCCCTACATCCCATGGCTTGGTGTGGATATCCATGCCCCACAGATCAGTGCTAACATCCCTGCTGCCCCATGTCTCATGATGTTCCCACATCACATGAATTCAGGTAGACATCCCCACTGCCCCACATCCCATGGCTGGATGGGGACACATCCCTGTTGCTTGATGTCCCAGGGTTCAGTGAGGACAGCCCCACTGTCCCATGTCCTGTTTCTTGTAGGGGAATGGCATGCTGCTCCATGTCCTCTGACTCAGGGCTGTGTTCCCACTGTTGTTTTGGTGGGGGCACCCCTGCTGCCTGCTGTCCCAGAGCTCAGTGAGGATGTCCCAGGAGGAACATCCCAGTRCCTTGTTTCCCATGGCTTGGTGGGGACATCCCCAATGCCCCACATCTCGTTGCTTGTAGGGGACATCCCCGCTGCCCTGCAGCCCCACCTTGGCCATGGTGTGGCACAACRTGGTCCCCTGCCCTCTCAGGGCTGCCAGGCGGTGGGTCAGGGTTGGTGCCGGGGTATGTCACCCTGACCCCGCTGTTCCTGTCCGCAGGGTGAGTCCCAGGGGTCCCTCTGAGTGCTGACATGGCTGCGGGTGTCATCCAGCCCCTGGCCGAGCTGCGGCTGCCCTCACCCTTCCCCCACGGCCTCTTGCTGCCCACGCACCCCGAGCCCGACTTCCCTGACCTCTCCGAGGAGGAGGAGGAGGAAGAAGAGGAGGAAGAGGAGGAAGAGGAGGAGGAAGTGGAGGCAGTGGAGGAGAGCGTGAGGCCGGAGCTGGTCAGCGTCTCCAGCACTGCCGAGACCACCCTGCGGCTCCTCAAGTTTTCGGAGCTCATCAGCTGCGACATCCAGCGCTACTTCGGGCGGCGGGGCCGGGAGGAGGCCCCCAGCAGCYGCCCCGTGCCCGAGGACTGCGGCTCGCCCCGGAGCACCGAGGCCGTGCCCGAGGCCGTGCGGGGCAGCCCGGGGGCCGCACACAGGCTGGGGCCGCTGGCCGAGCTCTTCGAGTACGGCGTGCACCGGTGCCTGCCCGCCCGGGCGGCCGGCGGCCGGACACAGCGGCTGGAGAGGAARTACGGCCACATCACCCCCATGCACCGCAGGAAGCTGCCGCCATCCTTCTGGAAAGAGCCGGGCCCGGGCCCCGCCGGCCTCCTCCACAGCGGCACCCCCGACTTCAGCGACCTGCTGGCCAACTGGACAGTGGAGCCAGGGCCAGAGCTGCCGGGCCGCCCGGGGCTGGAGGCTGAGCCCTTTGCTGGGCTGTGACCCCACTGTGGCCCCGGGGGCCCCCGGTGCCGCCACGTGCCACCCGGTTAATGATAAACCTGCTGGCCCCGGTGCCAGCGCCGGGCCACTCGGAGCTGCCGGGACAGYGAATAAATGACTCCCGCCAGGCACCAGCGCGGGCCGTGTCCTTTGCCACCCGCCACTGGGGTGTCCCCGCTGCCGTGACAAAGGGCCACGGCTTGGCGTGACCCTGAGGGGCTGCCCCGGCTGCCCGGGAAGWGGAGGGGAGCGCGGTGCCGGCAGGAGGCGGCAGCCCGTGTTTACTCTGCGGCCCAAGGCGGTGGATCCCGGCCCCTTATCTCGGCCGCGCCGGGGCAAAGGGCGACACGRGGCCCCATAAAGCTCCCGGCTGTCAGCGCTCAGGGGGACCCATCACTGCCTTGGGGACCCACTGTGCCCTACAGCACCCCTGCCCCATGGCAGACCCAGGGAAAGGGACRCACAGGGGAGAGCAGGGCTGGCCCTTCTTCCCCACACTGCTGGACATGGCTGTTACCAGGGTCCAGCCCAGGCATCCTCTGCTTTGTGGTGGCYCTTTGTGGTGGCTTTTTGTTGGTCTTGAAAGGGAAAAACACCCGGGAAGAGGCAGCAACCCCCTGCCTTGAGCCCTGCCAGGGGGCAGCCCCCACTATGCAGCCCCTGCCTCCACTTGCCAGCCTGTGCCCTCCCCACAGTGACAGAGGGACAGAGCTCGGTTCAGCTCCAAGGTGACACCAGAGCCTGGACAGTGGCCCCAAGGGAAGAAGGGAAGCAAGAGACAGGCAGCATCAAAATAAAAGTACAAACAGACTTTATTTCAGCACAGATCCCACAGTCAAAAGCCTCTCCAGGCACCAGGTTGCCTGCGTACAGTGAGGAAGGGGCAGTCCCAGGGCAGGGGGCAATGCCAAGGACAGGAGCAAGGATGGGGGGAGATGGGGGAAGTGAGGTGCCAGGGCTGGCTTTGCTCCAACCCCCTGGCCAAATCCAGGACTGTGGCAGGGTTTGGGGTACCTGGAAGGGCCCAGGCTGCTGGAAAGAGCCAGAATGCGCCCCGGGAGTGACTCTGGATCCCAGTGTGGAAGCAGCACTGACGGGAGGAGTGCAGGAGTGGCAGAGGGGCACAGGCTATAGGGCCACCATGGCCCCAGTGCAGGCAGCTCTCCCCTCCCCATCCCTGCCCCAAATCCCAGGGATGTCTCCCCACACGGGGGTTGGGATCAGAGTGGCTGAGAGAGCCAAGAAAGAGCCAGAGGCRGCAGCTGCAGAACCACGGGAGCCCTTTTATTGCACAGCCAAGCAGGGCACGTCCCCCTCCTCAGTCCTAAGGGCAGAGAGGCAACCGCAGAGCTCAGCCCAACCCAGCCAGAAGGAGCACAGGGCAGGGGGAGTGGGGACATCATGGCCCCTCTGCTCCCCTCACAGGCCCTGYAGCCGGGGCTAGGGCAGGGCCAAGGCCCAGGCAGCCCACACGGGGTACATGAGGCAACAGAGGCCAAGTGCCCTGTCACAGGGCTGTGCCCGGCTCAGGAGGGCATTCCTGCTCCCCATGGAACACTCCAGCCTTCACCCAACCCTCAAGGAGAGCCTATTCCAGGAGCTAACAGAGCCAAGGGTGAGTTTGATCCCTTGGGGAAGAAGAGGAAGGGGTGACAAGAGGAGGCAGTAGACGTGGGAAGGCAGCGACGGGCAGGAGGGCCGGGGCAGCACGGCCATGCCGGTGCTCCAGGCACCGTGACGCCTGCACAGACCGGCCCAGTCCTCTCCCCACCTCCTGCAAAAGGGGGTCCCCAGCTCCAAGGGCTGGGGCACGGCTCTGCTGGGCCCCCCTGCCTCACGTCTGTGCCAGTGAGAGCTCCTCCAGGCCCTCCTTCCCCAGCCGGTAYCTGGCGAGGTCCTTGCGGGTCACCATTCCCACCACCTGCCGGGAAAGGGACGGGGTACAACCCACTGTGGGCACACTGAGCCTGGGGACAGCGTGTCCCTGTGCCCTGGAGGAGCCCAGGCTGCTCGGACACAGCGAGCAGGGACTCACCTCGTTGCGATTGTCCACGACCACCAAGTGCCGCAGGCCCAGGGCTCGGAAGAGCTTGAACACCCGCGGCAGAGACGCCTCCTGCAAGGCAGAGCGGGGTTAAGGGTGCTGCAGCACCCCCAGCCAGCACCCATCGCCCACCCTGATCCCCGGGGAGCTGTGCACAGGGGTCCCTGGCCATTACCTGGGGCACGGTGTAGGGTGAGGGGTTCATGAACTCGCTGAGGTCAATCATGCACTCGCGCTCGTCCTGGGAGACGTGGATGGACTGAATGGGGGGGAAGCGGGGRTAGGCATCCCGAAAATCCTTCAGCTTCAGCCGCCGCTGCACCAGGTTCAGGTTGGTCCTTTCCACAAAAACCTTGGGAGGAAAGAGATGKTTGGGACTATCCTGGCAGAGGCCACAGGCACCAAGACAACACACAGGGGCAGGGAGGGAAAAGGGCAGGAGTGTGGGACAGATGGACCATCTGCAGAAGCAGAGCCTGTTTCCCACTCACTCCGAGTTTGTGAGCCCAGTGGGGTGCAGGATGATGCTGGGGTAACCCCACCACCAAATGGCAGCACCCATCACCCCCTGGGGTGAGCTGAGGGAGATGACAGGGACCCTCTGCCAGCTCCTAAGCAAGGCAGGCAGCCAGGGGCCTGAGGCAGAATTGGGACAGGGGCAGTGGGGCTCAGACACAGCACAAACACTCTCCATGCAGCATCACCCACCTTGTGCTTCAGCAGGACGATGAGCTGGGAACGCAGGATCAGACCCCGCAGTCCGGCCACCTGCAGCAGGGCAGCGTGTGTGAGACAGGCGGGGAAGGGTCAGGGTCCCACGGGGCAGCCACTCCTCGTGTGGCCACCCCAGCTCCATCCCCTCCCCAGGGRCTCCCCGCCCACCTGTGTGGTGCCAGGGTTGCTCTCCACCACGGGGAAGCCGTTGTGGTTGGAGGAGGTGTCACTGAGGATGTCCACGACGGTGCCCACGCGCTCGATCCTCCGCAGGCAGGTGACAGGAGTGCTCATCACCTCCCTGCAGGGAGGGCTCAGGTGAAACACAGCCCCACAGCACCACACACCATCATGGAATCACAGACTGGCTTGGTTGAAAGGGACCTTAAAGCTCATTCTAAAGCCCTGCCATGGGCAGGGACACCTTCCACTATCTCAGGGTGCTCCAAGCTCACACCTGTGCCAGGGCCTCACCACCCTCACACCCTAAATACCCCTCCCAATACATGACTCCTCAGCACCGGTGCCAGGGGACAGCAGGCTCCTAAGACCAAAATATCACCACCTCCACTCCCASCTCAGGCAAACAGTGTGGTCCAAAAGCTGCTGCCCCAGCAAYGTCCAGCCCACCTACCTGGCTGTGAGGGAGTGGGACGTCACTGGGGCTTCCCAGTGCAGGAAGGGGACGCTCTGCAGCTGGATGTGCATGTCATAGAGCCCCTGCAACGAGAGCCAAGCCATCAGGAGAAGCCTGACGAGATGCCATGGGGCACAGCCAGGCAGCAGCTCGTCCCTCAGAGCAAGCACGTGCCTGTCCTAGCCCCCCATGGCCCCACAGCACCACCAGCCCTGACCCACAGTCCTGGGGAGCACCAGCCCTCACCTCCACAAAGTAGTCTCCCACAATCTTGGCTGTCATCAGCACCAGCATGATGGGGAAGCCATAGGTGACRTTGCCTGTTGCCTCCATCATGATGACCGTGAGACTCAGCGTCATCCGCACTATCCCACCTGCCAGAGGCACCCGGGGGGTTTGGGGGTTTAGAAATGCAAGGAAACATGGAGTGAGGGCATCACAAAACACCTGAGGTCCCTGAATCTCTCAGTGACCCAGGACTGCCTGCCCAGGGGTGCACTGGGTGAGCCCAGCCCTCACTGGTGCCTCAGCAGTGCCTGTGCTTGGCAGGATGATTAGRAAGCTGACAGCCAGGCTGTTCCCTTCCCAGGGAAGCAGGAAGTGTTTCTTCCCATAACACCTTCACCCCAACCAACACCGTGCCCAGCTCACTCACCCAGCTGAGCAGCAGCTCCCATCAGGGCGTACTTCCCGGGATCAGCCCAGATCTGAGCACAGGAGAGAGAAGCCGAGTCACCTGCTAGCTCCAGGGCATCCAGAGACAGTCAGCAGAGTTYTGCTCCCCCAACTCCCTCCGAAATGGGGAGAGGTGCCTGAGGCTGCCTGAACAACCCAGCTGCTGGCAGGGCTCCATCAGGATGTGAGGACACCCAGACTCAGCTCATGGAGACACCAAATGAGGAGCCAGCCCACTCCAGAGCTCTCAGCCAGCTCCAGGCACGCTGCCTGCACATGCCAGCAGCCCAGCAGCGAGGGAGGAGGGCTGGGTGCCAGGATTCCCTGGCAGGACTCACCGAGCCCTTGGTCAGGTAGGACAGGGAGATGCCGAAGAGCCTCCCCCAGGCTGCCCCGATCAGCAAGGAGGGGATGAACACTCCCGCGGACACCGTCAGGCCGTAGGTCCAGCAGGCCAGGAAGAAATACATCAGAGTGAACATGCCCAGGGTCATGGGGTTGTAGGAGCCTGGGGTGRGGACAGAACAGAGTCAATGCTGGTCCCACAGCCCAGGGGACACTGTGAAGGGCTGTGGCTGTGGATCAGGCAGCAGCAGCCCCATGATGCACTCCCAGCAGCGAGAGCCCCTCTTCTCAGGCTGYACCTCCTGCCCTGGCAGCACAGGCCTTTCAAACCCATTCTTCAGGTTATTTCTGCCCCCTCCAAGGCCCCACCAGCCAGCCAGTGCCATCCCAAGCCCTCACATCCTATCCCTTCATCTCATGACTCCATTTCCTCCCAACCCTGTGGTTCCCAGCCTCCCATGAGGAACTCCAAAGCCCCAAGAGAGGGACTGCCAGGGTTGGAGGACAAGGTTGGGAAGACAGAGGTCCCATTGCCAGCTTTGGGATCAACTGAGCAGGGCAGGTCCTGCAAGCTCCCTCCCTTCCTGAAGCTCCCACGGGTGCTCCAGCCAGTGCCAGGCTGTCCCACGGCACAGGCTGTGCCATCCCAGCGAGACCCTGCCGACCCCACGACCCAGCCAAGTGCTATTTTGGGATTGCTGAGCAGCCCAGTCTAGTTTAAACAAGTAACCCCTCCTTCACAGACAGA